AGAACCCGGACAAGGAAAAACCAACGCACATAAAACTCCCTTTTACGTAACCGGATGAATTTTCCGGATATATTTTTCAGAATCAACTCCAGTAACAAATGATTGCATATGCGTTAAAACGTCAGTGCTCGCTTTCGCCAGGGCCGGACTCCGCTCGCAATACAGCGAAATTCAATTATCCAGCGATATTAATTACAGTTATTATTCCGGGTATAATCCTTGGAGGGAAGAAAAGGAATATTCGAAGTAACGAAATAAACTTTTAGCGAAACCGTTTTATGAAAAGAAAATTAATTTAAACGCATTTTATCGAACGTGACTCGACTGACGAAAGAAGGGAAAAAGCGCGATATAAATTTTTGTTTGTTTCAGGTAATGAATATGAATTACTCATTAGAGGCGGCTTGTTAAAAAATACTGAAAATTCCCTGCGAAACCGTCTCTCGAAAAGTGTTGCCGCTTTTTTTATTCTCCAGCCCCTATCGGATTTCTTATACCGTGGAAGTAATTAGTAAAATAAAAAAAACGAATTACCATTCTAATTCGAAATGAATTTTTATTTCGGCGATCAATCAACCGGAGTTTGCGTTACTAATTAAAACGAAAATTAGGAAAAATTTACCGGGATAATTTGTATATAAAAAAATTAGAAAGGAATTAATCCCACTTCTGATGAGATGGAAATGGCGGGTTATTGGCAATGGACGCCAATGGAAAACCGGCAGTTTTTCCAGAACAAGAGGTTTAATACTCTTTGCACTGTATACTGTTGTGTACAGTACATGTACACCGTTTATTCTTCTTTGTACGTATGCGTCGGGGAAATATAATGAATATTCATTGTGCCGCTCCGGCGGTTGGTCTTAGGTTTTGGTATATAATTACGGCGATATAGCCGCTATATATCAAAAGCGGAGTTTGAAAGGTGGTCGGATACGTGGCCGGAGTTTCAAAAAGCTGGGAAATGTAAATTTAATTAGTATCGGTAATCAAATCTCTCTATTTATGACGCCGTATAAAGTCATATCGCGTCGCTGTTTAAACCTCCAAAATACCCAAAACATTAAAGAGGAGCTGACTCCGGCAATTCCCGTACTTGCTTATGTTTCATAACGAGCTATTTGTTATTCCGGTGGGGTGTCGGTATCCCACGTTGCGGATCAATCAATCTGCTAAAAACAAAGATATATTTTTTCCCAATTCTCGCGTGTTGTGCAAGCACTTCACATGGCACATGTTTGTGTGCTTATTTGTCAGTACAATCGACTACTGATTACGAAATTTAAACGAAGCAAGCAGTTAATTTTATTATCGTCATACAAGGCTTTTCTATCGCAAATAGATCAACGCTAACAACTAGCCCCCTTTCAAGTCGAGTCAATTAAAAAGAATTACAGTTTTCCTTTTTTCTCTAGACTCCGAGCCGGGCATACGCGCCTTACATCCAAACTCGATATTTTCTATGTTAAACAGACCGATAAAATCGAGGCGGGCGGCCCTGAAAGACTTACCTAACTTTATCACTATCGGACTAAAAGTATTTCGAATTTTTTCTCCCGTTCCTCCTGCGAAGTTCCTTTCTTCGGGCAATAAATATCGCGGGGAAATCCACGTGATGGCGGGTCCGATAAAAAGCCGGGCTCTCGAGCGCGAGAGAAGTCCGAGCGGCGTCGCCGCCGCCGCAGCGAAAGGTAAAACGGGCGTAGGGGGCGCATTCCGACTCGACGGTGCATGAAATGAATAGCTTACGCTGCTTTTACGCCGCTGCCGCGATGTTTCCAATGCGGGGTCGGGCGGCCCGACCCCAAATTACTTTTTATTACGATCGACCGTTCTTAAGCTATACGTATTCCTGTGGAATCCGTTTGTAACCTGTCTGTAAGAAACGGATGCGTTTGCCAAGCGAAAGCTCCTGTATCACAAAGTTCGAAATTCTATATTTTTCATTTTCTCTTCTCTATTTACCTCCGATAAAATTTTTGACGATTCCGGGCTCTTAACAAACGAATCCGGTTAGAAAAGGGATACAAACGGATCCTAAGAATGCGCCGATCCTGAAAAATGTCTCATATTCAGGAAAACTCGTCCAACTTCTAATTAAGTTAAGGTCTAATAGTAAGAATTAGATATGTCATATTAATTTGTAAGTTTAAATAATAATCATAGAGTAAATTCGCAGGAATAATTTTAAACGTATTATTCTAAAGGGAACCCTCTAAGTACTAGTATATACTACATATTTTCGTTGAGCAGTCAAGAGCGAATTTCATATATTTTTTAGGCCTCTTGGAAGGATATTGGGTGGATATTAAAATTGTTTGGAGTTGCCTTGTATGCATAGTGAACACGATATAACTTGTTTGCCGCGTGCTCATATCAGCGCTAAAAAGTGTGATGCCTCCAGCAGGTGCGTGTTAACCCGTTATCGATTGACAAAAACATGGTGCCCCTTCAAGCAGTCACGCCAGCAATATTTTCCTTCTTAGACTACACATACATAATACTTAGATAATTAAATTTGCGTCGGCGGGAATTTTGTTCCGCCCTTAAAGAAACAAACTGTACATGAAAATCATTCCAATTAGGAGCGCGCTCGGAAGCGAAAAAAAACAGCTAACGAAGTCTGGTTGGTGTAAATAGTTAGTTTTCTCACCTGGCAGGTCGTGCGTTTATTATTATACCCGCGGAGGAAAAATGCTCCTTCCATTTTCAAATAAATTACCTGCCATGCCAAATACCTATTCCAGGGAATACTTTTTATCACGCAACATAGTATTCCGCCGGCATGGAAAGCCGTAAGAGGACTCAAAATTCAATGAAACTAACTCGAGTTCCGGGATTTGTCAAACTGAATTCGAGATGAAAATTTAAGAAGTTTTTCGAACGGGATTTAAATGGGATTTCACCCGTCCAGTTTTCGGCACTTTTCTAAAAGACGTGATAAATTTGTTGAAGGGGTTTTTCTTACAATTTAAGGTTTATTTCTTATTAAAAAACAAACCAAACATTCGTATTAAGTTATGGTATACAAGCTTTAATTTTTTTCATAATTTCCTGTTAACTTCAAAAATTAATTGAAATTGTCTATGTTAAGAAATGAAACGAAAAGAAACTTTTTGAGGAACTGTCAAAAAATTTCTAGATTTATAAGAAATCGTTTTCTGTTGCCAATCTATCTTCTAAGATTATAACAATCGCATTACATACAGGGTTGGGCAAAAGTCCGGAATAAAATTATTATCTGTTAAACCAGTAATTTAAACAAAAAACGCTGAAACACGTAAATTGATTTTATATTGGACGGATTTGTTGCCAATAAAATGATTTTTTTTTCTTCAACCCCTTAGTTGCAACCCTACCCAACTTTATTTTTTCAAATGCAAAGGTATGTCGTGTGTAGGGTCATTGAAAAGCCCTTGAAAAATGGAATCTAAAACATACCTTTTTTTTTATTTTTCTCATGTTGTTATTTGGAAATGAGCAAAAAATTCTTTTAAAAACAAATATGTTACAAATACTTTTTTAGTGGTATCGACGTGTGAATTAAGGCTTACTCTACTTAACAGGCTCCAAGGCAATGGTAAAACCTAATATCGGTAGCCTATCTTTAATTCTGAATGAACTTTTATTACATAAAAGCAGGCGAGCCTGGTCAGGCAGCACACCAAATTTTATTGATTTACCGTTTAAAACTGATAAGGCAATTTAGCATCAACATTCGTTGAAATTTATGTTTTAAGAAAAAACAAAAACATAAAATGGGTTTAAATCTAAGCCATTGTTGATCAGTGAACTTCAAAAAGGAAAACAGGTGTTGCATTTTTGAACAAGTTTTTTTTACCAAAGGTTCGCCTGTTTTTATTAAAAAGTCATTCAGAATTAAAGATATGCTATCGATATTACGTTTTACCAATGCCTGGGAGCCTGTCAAATAGATGGTGAAGGGCATTTTCAACATTGCTACGTCGATAGCACTAAAAAGGTATTTGTAACTTTTTTGTTTTTAAAAGAAATTTTTGCTCATTTCCAAATAACAACATGAGAAAAATAAAAAAAAGGTTTGTTTTAGATTCCATTTTTCACGGGCTTTTCAATGACCCTACACACGACATACCTTTGCATTTGAAAAAATAAAGTTGGATAGGGTTTCAACTAAGGGGTTGAAGAAAAAAAAATCATTTTATTGGCAACAAATCCGTACAATATAAAATCAATTTACGTGTTTCAGCGTTTTTTGTTTAAATTACTGGTTTAACAGATAATAATTTTATTCCGGACTTTTGCCCAACTCTGTATAATAAAAAGTTGATATAGTACTTTCCGTTTAACGAACCTCCATAAACTCGTTTTATACGAATTTCTTGCCATAACATCCTTGGTATATTAAGCAGACGTATTCAAGTTCTCCATATTGGGCATTACGTTAGTTGAAACAAATTCAATTCAAATAGGTGTATATAATGTTTCAAAATGAAACCACTCACCGCCAAAATTTGCTACCATTTTATCCCTCCTGGTTATATGAATACAGTATAATTAGACTATTTCACGAGTTTGTTGCGGATTAATTAAACGTTTTGAATGAAATAATAAAATCGAGAAGGAGCTCTTCACTGAGATAATTTGTATTTAATTAGGGAATTCGGTCGTAGATGTGCCTAGAAACTTTTATTAAAAATGAAAACTTTCAGGTTTTTTTTGGCCGAAGGCGTATTAAATTCGAAACAAAATAATACGAAAGGAACAAAGAAAGCAGTGCTTAATGAATAGTTTTAAAGCAGGACGGTTCATCAAAAATTAATTACTGCAACAGTTGGAAAAGCCCGTGTATAATTTTTGGCGGATCTCTAAGAATCCTCCGCTATAATTTAGAATAATTCGTATCTTTAAACTGTATCCTTTTTGGCGGAACTCGAGAGCACTGTTTACCTTCCAAAGGCATGAATTGAATTTATTTCAATTAACAATTATGTCGGGTAATTAAGCGAAAGATAACTTACCGGTTGAGAAAACTTGTCCAGTAACAACAAGCACCGTGACAGTGGCGTAAACACCGGGTGCCCACATTTTCGTGTTATTCGTGTAATACCTAGAGGAAGAAAGTAATAAAATTTAAATTTTTACGTGTACCATCGAATCCATTTCATTGATATTCATATTGACATCCAATTTAAAGTGCATACACAATCGCATGTACGTTGATTTTAGGGAAATTACAATCGGCACATCCAGTTCATATATCCCGATGATTATTTTATGGTGTGGTAATTATACAACATCACAGTCGAATATAGTGGACAGGTCTTTTCCACTAACAGTTGAACGTACATTTCACATGTTTTTGGATGAATTATTATTAATGTTTATACTGTGAAAAATATTTGAAGGATTAGTTACTTTAAAAATTTGCTATTTCAAATGTAAATCTATTACTTATAGTAGGTAGGTATTTTGCAATTCATATATTGTCATAGTGTAAAACTAATTTAATTGTTAAACCAATTCAAATGTTGATTAATCGAGGAGATATTTACCTTCGCACATAATGCGTAAGCCTTTATTGATAATTAATTTATGTGGATAAAATAAATAATATTCGGTGAGATTCAATGTTATCATTAATGAATATTCAATTATGGTTGATTCGATTTGAAACTTTCTTGTGAAAAGTAAACATTTCAACCTGTTGCTTTTAGTGGGTAAATTCAAATTCAAACAATAGATGCTATTGAAGCTTCGGTTGAGCAATATTTTCATTATACCAATACAAAAAAAATGGCTATTGTTAGATATATTAGCTTTAGAAATATTTATTAGCTAAAAATCTATTTTCTACTGAATTAGTTAAACAGTATAATAAAAATTAAGTTCATAAACTTCGAGGATTAGTAGCATGGCCTAATGAAATACGTAGATATACGTATATCAAAAAATAGTTCGAAACTGTAGTCCTATATTCGAATATTTATTCTGGGCTGAACCCACACTTCTACTAAAGTTTGTGTTACTTATCTTTTTACTCTGTATAATGATCCAAAAATAAATGTTATACAAGACTAAAATAGTTAATTAAATAATTAAAGTTCATCCCTCCAGTCCACCTACGTACATAAGTAATGACATGTATCATGCAAAATTCACTCCGGAGGAATATAAAATATTTATTAGAGATGAAAATTTAAATGTCACTAATTTTTTATTTTTATAAAGGAATAATAACTAACTTTAATAATTTTAACAAAATTTAAAATAGTTATTAAAATTAAATGTTAAGTAGGTATATTTAGATAAATATTTGTTTTCAAATTATTTTTTTAAATGAAATAAATTTTCAAAAATCGAAATCAATACCTACAAACATTTTGAGATTTTTAATACTTTAGGGAACAAAATTAACTACGTTGTAACTGATCCTTCAACAAGAAACAATTCAGTTTAACTTTAACCACTTCATTATCCACTCAACTGGCACTCAAAAACTCATTAAAAAGAAAAACCACTTGATGCATCCAACTTATGATTTTCCGAAACACACAAACCACTCTATTAAAAAAAACCACACACACACTCGCCCACAAAAAAACTTTATTTTTCTTCTAAAATTGCAACACCGCCGAGCGACTAAATCCAGCGACTTTGAAAACTGTTGAAAACAAACACACGTGCCCTACATAGCATTCTTCCGCGGTGCGTGCTCGCCTTAACGTGCTATAGCGCGGCCACTACTGACTGGAAACTCTGGAAAATCCGGCGTTCCTGTGCGCCCGGACTGGAAAACGGCGGCGCGCTACCACAGCTCCGGATCAACCGGCGAAGATGGCCCCTCTCGCACAGTCTGGTTCTTTTTTCTTTCGCATGCAGGTGTGCGAATGAGCGTCTCGAGCAGTCGGCTTTTAATTAAACTGAAGCTAATTAGTTTTCGATTATATCATCCTCGGCGTCGCCAACTTCGAGCGCTCATTAGCCATATTATCCGCGATAAGATGGACTATGGTAGACCTAGACATGCTAGACGGAATGTGGAAGAGGTTCTAATGTGAAGTGAATTTGTTTGTTCCGATGAAAAGTTGAAACACTTGGCTATATTTTATTACAAACTTATACTTATCACACACATAAAACTTGATATGCTTGCCGTTTTAAATTTTATCAACATAACAATTTATTGTAAACGAAAATTTGCTGTATACTAAAATTAACATTAATTATTTAAAGGAAGCACTTTAAATGCTGATGGTTAGATTGTTTTCGCGCAGAGGTGCCAAACAAATTAAATAAATATCTATTCTAGAAATGTCTAATAGAATAATTGGCATTGCATAGACTATACCTATTCGGGTCACTTATAAATAATTCGCATCAACTAAAAGCAATTCTGTGTGAATCTATCAAATCCTTTCCCGGTTGGTTTACGGAAATCTGACAGATTGCGCGCATAATTAATTTAGTACGATAGTGAAGATTTTATAATCAGATTTATCGCGCAATAGGTCGGAATAACGAGATTTACTTTAATTAGGCTTATTTATAATATGCGACGAGGTAGGAAGATGCACATAATAATTTATTGTACTCGACACTGACGCGCGCTACTTATGCAAATCTTAAACACATTTAAGATTAACACTTATAGTAGATACAGTGGAATAATTGAATATTTACTTAGCAGATTGCTAAAAACGTTTGTGATTTAATTTTCAAGTTAATTCATCGATTTTTTGTCTGTCCAGGAGACTAAAATAAAAAACAGGAATCGTGTCATAACTTCTTGGAGATTATGGTAATTAAACACCCTGTGCATAGGAGGAGATCATGCAATATTTTGGTCAATAATTAGGATTATGGGTATGTAAATAATTGGATACGTTAAGTACATATCAACAAATTAAGTAAAACCAAATATTGGCTCATAGTTGATAGAAGGTTAGTTAATTGAATGGAAATGAAGGGAAACAAAATCGATACTTTTACAACCACCCATCCAGTTAGTTACTACATCTATATACAATCTAGCCTTTAAAAAATATTGATATTTTTAACGACTCGTAGGTTTATTTTGCGTTGAACATGCCACCGAAATTGATTTTGTATCAGATGGCCTACAATCCACTCTAGATTCGCGTCTTTCTCTTTCCACTCTCTCTATCAAAACATCGATTACTACACCTAACATAACCTTCAAATGGAGATTTTCCGGAATTTTCCGGACAGACAAAACCGCAACCGATCGATAGTACATGCAAAAATATCAACAAAGCTTCAACAATCGCCAGAAAAACGCCATGAAATCAAGGGGAAAACTCGAAAATTTCCAGTGGAAAACCCCGATCGATGGAAACCGATGGAGTCTCGTCCACTTTCGCGTACCGACATATGACGGCGTGGATACAGCGATTCGTGTATGCACTCGAAATTAAACCACATCCCCAGCAAATAAACACCCAAATGCTGTACTCACCGATCAATTAGCTGGCCTATCCGACATCAACATCTCTACGAATTTCCACTCGGCCGATACGGAAAATGCGAACGAAAATTAAAATGTCGAAGAGAACCCGACCTTCCCGTCTTCGCACTTTTGATAAAGCGCGCAGCGGGGGACGCGGGCCCGAGGGTGCGGATATTTCAAACAGAAACGAGGGAATCCGCTCTAAGCGACCAGCTGAGTCAGCCGGAGGACTGGCAACCATCCAGCTGGTCGACTGGATACGCTGGAAAGGAAAACGCGAGGCCATTGGCACATGCACCGAACGTTCTGTCAACATTAATATGCTACCTACGCCATGTAGTAAGGTGTTACTATACTCATTCATTACCTCATCAAAGCGATGGGACATGATCTAAGAATCAGAATCACTTGGTAAAATCTTATCCCTAAATTAGCTTCGATTTAGGGATGAAAATTCTCTAAATTTTTGGAAATGGAAATTTTCTAGTACCCGAAAGGTTTCGAGAAGCTTCCTCGTCTGGAATACTTTGCTCGTTCGTGGGCGGCGTGGAAGTTTTGCGAAATTACGGGACGGAAGTGCCGGGTGTTTCAGTACAAGAGTATCGGAGGGTATAATGGGTTGTGAATTATAAATGGAATTTATTGCAGAAAGCCTCTTTGCTAAATACAATGCAGAAAGTGTTCCTAGGGTGGGCGAAACTAAGGCATTAAAACAATATTATTTAGGGGAGCGTTGCGATTTTGAATATGTAAAATATAGAAAATGTAGAGTGTACATGTCCGGCTCGAAGGACCAAATGGTTTTGTGATAGATAACTCGAAGGAGCAAATGTATACACTATTACACTTATTATGAATTTCTAAATGCTTTTATTCGAACAATAAAAATGGTAACAAAAAAGACGTACATCAAATGCGGCGCTGTTGCCATACTTTTATATAAATAGTAGAAAATTGTGAAATAACAGAAACGAAAGTATCTACCAGGACTAGTGCATTTTTTTATTAAAACTGCCCACTCATTTCTGATCGATTTTCCCAATTTCCCTCATTCCCAAGTCTCGACCAATTGTATGTACAAAGAACATCGAACTATCGAAAATGAAAAAATCTGTAAAATTTAATTTGCTGTTTATTGGGAGCGTGATAAACCGGCGATCGCTCGACAAACTTTGCGTATTGTTTAATTAAGCTCGTTTCGCAAACATTGATTGACGTATCGTCAATATGGGGGTCTATAAATAAAGTAATAGCACTAAAAGCAAATATAGGTATGTGTGATATGTTTTCAGAACAACCCGCGTTTCCAACGCGGCCTAATTAGTCGAACATAAAGGTGCAATCCATAAATCCCATTAACTTGTACCAAAAATATGACTAGTTATAGAATTTGGACAAAGTAACAAGTCGAATTGACATATGCCCAAAAGCATAAAAGCTTGTGTAAATAAACTAAACGCCTCCAAAAATAGTCGAACATAATGGTACAATCTATAAATCCAATTAACTTGTACCCAAAAGATCCCTATAATAGTGTTCTAGAATTTGGACACAGTACATAACAAGTCAAATTGACTTATGCCCAAATATTTAAAAGCTCATGTAAATAAACTAAACGCCCCAAAATGTTAACACTTTATTCAATTTTTCTTTTAACAATACGAATTAACATTTCATGTTTACGTAGTGACAAGGTCTCTTATCACAATAGATGGAGACTACACATCTATTTTCTCTTTTAAATAAAAAACATAAAAACAATATGATAGTACTCCCATCTGAACGAAGTCAATATCATACCTATAACGTTGATAAGGACTTTATCACAGCTTGACAAGCGTTACTAAGTCGTGTCGAAATATCTACCAAACATCGGAATTCGCAAATCGGCTCTTAAACCTTCGAATGAGTGTGTTATTGTTAATCGAACAGGCGATTTGAGAATCCCAATTTAAAGTAAAAAAAATAGTTACAAGTTAAAAATCGATTCTTCAGAGTCAGTTTGAAATAAAAATCTGATAAAAATGTAGTATGTACAGTTTCGAATTCTCTTGCTAGATTTTATGTAGAATATTTTAAACTGATTCTGGGAATCTACATGTTGTAGCTTTTGAGTTCTATGTGTAAAAATAATTATTAAGAAAAATTATTAAAATCTCGCAAGTACGTTGTTTGTACGGATCTATTAGCAAGAGTCGAGTACTCAATTTTGTGGATATAAAGGGAACTAATAAATCGTAAAACATGTATATTTGAATAAAATATAAAATGTATAGTACTAAAAATACGCTAGTAATCTGTAAACATCCAATTGAAACGTGATTTTTTAATAAATACGCAATTTTCAATACTATACCATTTTCGCTAAAGACGTGAGTGACATTAGCAAAAACAAACAGTTCAAATTAATAACAATTCATTAATTCTTACTTATAATCAACAGTAACGCATTGTTTTCGATAATTGAAGTAAATCCCAGTTTGAGATTATAAATAATATTGAAGATATTTAAAAGTGTATGTTTGTATATTGTACACATTATTTACTCCTGTTTCGATTTTTTTAAACAAAAATAATGCACTGTTACAGTGCAATAACGACGAGTCATCCTGAATTCATTGAGTTCATTAATCCCAAGGAGATAAGACATGTAAAAACCAGCGGTTTGTTACCAAATGCACATTTTAAATAAATGATCTACTGGTTAAATATGTTTCATTACTTCATGTTAAAAATACATTCGCTTCGATCGTTTTATAGTTTCTTAGAATGTGATTGGAATGACCGATAACAACACTCATTATGTACATTACGATGCATCGGGTTTTTAATTACGAATGATATTACTATTGTTCGTGTTGTTTTTAATGCGTATGGAAACTTTCACTGGCGGTATTCGTGAAGGAAATAACAAAAACTTCGGGATAATTCGTCTAAAGTAACCAAAAAAAATAATATTATTAATTTCGTACGTGTATAGTCCTAAAACAAAATAACAATAATAAAGAAATTTCTTAGTAAATTACTATTGGTGTTCTTGTTCCAATATTTTCCTATACAGATTTAACCTATGTAAGAAAATTTTTGGAATTTTCTCAACTCGTATAGTTCATTTTTTTGATTATTGAATTTTATGGCTTTCTTTTATTGAAATTCTTCATTATACTAAACACAATTCTGCAATGGTTTTGAACATTTTAATGATGCAAATTTCTAAGACAATCAAAAAGAGGCTAAATATTATGTTAGATTGTAATACTGAGAAACGACCGAAATTACTAAAAGAGATAACTAATCTTGCAAAACACTTGAAATATTGTTCATGTAAATGGAATTTCCAAAAATTTTAAAAACTGTTCAATTATCAGATTTTTATAGCACATTTATTGTCTAGATTTTCGTTTCATTCGTGAATCCGGCTAGTCTGATAAACATCAAAGGTAAACAGTAATAAAATTTGCATCATTATTTATATTACATAAAAAATTATCTCTATATTACATTTATTTATTTACAGGAGAATTTCGCTTCAAAGTAAAAAACAAATGTACCTAATTTCAAGCTAATATGACTACCTTTTTTATCAAAAATACATACATTTATACTTAAAATTCATTAAAATATATTATTTAATTAAAAAAATAGGAGAAAAAAAAACAGGAACAATTGATAATAATTAATAAACAAGACTTATTATGAAGCTTCACCTTGAATGACAAGCAGTACTTCCCCTTTTTTAGAACCAGCAATAACAAATAAAAATTGATTTATGACCACACAAAAACCACCGTAATTTAGATAGAGTCAAAAACAACAATACCTTATCCCAAACAAAACATTTCAATGACCACAGATGCTACACAGAAATTATAAGATGTTTGCATAACACAAGCAAGTCTCCGATAATAGGAGATTTCAAGAAAACAGAAAATATAAGCGTATAATATCAAGAAAAATACCACTATCAAAAACACTACAAAATTACTAGTATTAAATTTTTTTTGTAATTATACCCTGAACTATTTACACACATTATTTTCAATTATATCTGATGTATTAATGTGATATATTGTAATTACAACATGAAGATAGCACAAATAATCGATGGAAGTAAACACAATAATCTCCTTTGATAATATCTCATTAACAGAACTTCGATACCACAAATTGGGCATTTTAATTCAATCTGCTATCAGTTTTTTTTACAATTGAAGCGAAATTAACAGCACACATAACTGGCAAATAATACTTACATTAGAAAGATAATGCATATCAAAAAGCAATACTATGTATGAGCTATATCGATAAACGAGTCTTTCTGTTGGAAATCGGCTTTGTGCATCGTATTGAACGATATCGACCCGTACAGACCGGCCCCCGACATCGCGGGCAATTCGCGAGCCTTCAAATTGAACTTCTCCGTCCTCATCCCGTCGTTCTCCGTCAATTGCTCCGCATCCGGACCGTTCGAATCCATCGTATTGCTGCTGGCACTCGACACTCCTATTACTCTTATGTCCAACGACGTCCCTAATGCGTATTTGAAGAACTCGTACGTCGACCAACAGATCGCCGTCGCCGGCATTTGATACATCACTCTGGCTTGCATACCTGAGAAATAACAAAACCAATAGTGTAAATAGAAGTTGCCTCTCAAGAGAGTCGATGCAGAAGGGGAGCCTAAAATATGTTGTTTATTTAACACAACTTAACTTAATAAAAAGTTACATTCCTGAGAAGTTATAGGTCTTCAAAGTGTTACCTGAAACTTTTAGGCTCCCCTACATTCACCTGCTCTTATGAGGGACACCCTGTATAATAACTTCGACAGAAAACTTGGAATATATAGATATAGTCGGTGCAAAACAAATATCAATGCACGTAATTACTGTCGTCATATTTGCCGAGCTTTGTGACCAACTTTTAAAAATAAATAAACAAAATAGATTAAGCTTAATACCTGCAGAATTTAATTTAAAATTAACAAGGGATGATAGAAAATGTTAAAAAGCAGAATTAAAACATCCGAAAAAAATATATATTGTCCAAATTTAACGTTTGTATATAAAATTATTATTATTTTCTTATAGTCGGTTGGTAGGCACTGATTGTCAAGTTGCATAGTTGCCGTTGTTATCCGATCGGTACTTTTAATTTTCAATTTCTTCTCAACTACTAAAGGCTATTCAGCCGAATAATCAAAAAATAAGAATGTTTTACGTAGTTCTCTTTTCCACACATGTTAGAAATGACACAATTTGAGCTCTAAATAATTCAGATTCAGAAGTTTTTATCAGAAATTTCACTATGTACTCTTTTAATTGTACACTAATTGTACTCAATTGTACACTAAATTTTACTCGCACTGTTAAATATATTTCAGATGATAAAGGAATTTGATAATTAATTATAGTGAGCCCCTGAATACCTCTAATTTTCAATTTGTTCTTGTTATTTTGCCATTTGACCATTTTAGAAAATTCTTACATTTTCTAAACTCTATAAAAATTCAGCAACACTGCCTACTTGTGACGTAGTAAATTATAGGTCACGATATTTGTTTTGCACCGACTATAGTTTCAGATTTATTATATTACTTAATCTGATATCTCACCTCTGAAATAACCAGATAGCCCTTTCAATCTGTAAACGGTCTTCACTGCATCGACCATGCCCTTCGCATCGGTGGATTGTTGGGTGTTCAACAGCGTTTTACAAACGTCCAAAGGAGTGGTGATGGCGGCCGCTATGCCGCCCGCCAGGCCTCCGCTGACCATGTGCGCCTTGGGATTGTACACTTTGTCCTTGTTAATCACTTTTTGGGATAATTCGTACACTACAAAATGGATGCTTTGAAACGGTACATTCATTGTCAATTGCGTCGTGTAGGATCTGTAGAACGCCTTGAATCCTTCCTTTTGGTATATGCTTACGGCACATCTCAGTGCCGAGGTGTAAGGGGAGTTCGTCATTTGCATACGTTGTTTCACAACTGGAAAAAAAATCAATGAGATAGGTATTTTGATTTCAAATCGAGCGGAAATGTACCTTCTGCGGGGTTCATGAATCCATCATGGATCAAGGTTGCTATACATCCGGATGCTCCTAAAAGAAAATGTTTCATTTAGAGCCTAAGAGCGTTTTCACACGGTTCAATATATTGCAGCAATAAATTGCAATAAATTGCTGCAATATTGAATTTGTTGCTTTGCAGTTTTATACAAGTGTTAATAAAATTATTGTATCGCATACATGTGAATACTACGCATTTGAACGTTTATATTTTAACTGCAATGCAATATTGCAGCAGTTTATTGTTAAAATTCGTAATAGTAATTTTTAGAATCAACTCTTAGCAATTAATATTGTTCTCACATAATGCTGAAACAATATAGATAACTATAAATAAAAAAATTATATTTGCTATAATCTGATAAAGAAATTCTAGTTACTAATTAATAAAATAATAGAGTAAAATCAAATAAACCTTGACTTCTAAATTTCGTAAAAATAGACGAGAGCACAGGTTAACATTAAACACTATCTAATACTCATGTAAGAAATGATAAGGACAGAATATGAAGTATGTAAATACTCATTAAAAATTGTAATTAGTTTAACGACACAATAATTTACTATGTGAATCTACAATGATTTTATCGATATTTAAATGAAAAGTTCAAGCTGTTACTGTTGCATTCGAAAAGTTGTTTGTCAGTATTCGAATGCAACCCGAACGTTGCATAATTTGCAAAGCTAATTTTTAGAAATCAACTCTCCTGTTTGCTATAAATCAATACGAAATATCTTAAATAGAACAATTAAACAAGCAAATAAGTTCAGTGACATAAATGTTTAATTACTTTGTAGATAAAGTTATTTTAGATTATAATTCCTCCAACTTACCAAAGGCTAACGTATCGCATTTAGGCGAATTGAAAAAGCTCTTTAGATTCTCTTTTAAAAACTCGTAGCTGCTGAAATACAGAGCGTGCGAAGGTCCAGCCCCCACGACCATCGCCGACATCCCCCTCACGGGTCTGAACAGCCCCTCGTGTCGCACCATTCTAATCAGAGTCTCGCCGATTCCCTCCGACCCGGAGGCCGCCAGCGACTGCATCCTGGTCTAAAATGAAAAAAGCACCGTAACATAAGGAGCCCCTGGTCACCCCCGAGCAATTTACCTTGACGGAATCCAAGGGGTACATGACGCAGTGCTCCATTATGCCAGCTATAGCGCCAGCGATCATATGTGTTGTTACATTATCGGTCGGAAGCGTTTCGTAATCTTCGGGATTCATCTTGATGGGTTGTGAGAGGTTATGTCAACTGGTAACGAAACAAGTCAGGTTGAATCGGGGCTCGAGCAATTTCCACTGACAATTCGCGGTGATGATTTCAGCCGATCGAGATAACGATCATTTAATATATCGCGCCGTTAACTACACACTATCAACTTGCACTGTCATATGTAATTTGTGATTGCGATTTTTTTATGTCATGTGGTTGATGGTTGGAGACGAAATCACGAATATCTCATTGAGCATACTTGTGCGCATGGTGCTGAAAGTTCTTCTTCTTCCTTTTCCAATAAGCGATCTAAAACGTTGAAGTTATTCAGCTACATATGTCAAATTAGAGTTTTGCTTGACGTTAGTCTGTCTTTTACTACAATGTTCTGCAACTGCTGATGAATTATTTTAACAATGAAATATACAGTAAAACACACAAAAAAATGAAATATAACTCTTTTAATTTAAACCTACGTACTTTTCATTTATTTAAAACGAAATAACGCAATTACACAATTCCTGTGTGTTATGCAACCCAACGTACTTCAGAATTTCTAGTTGCCTGTTTGCTTGGGATTACCCTTTATTAAAAAAGTAGAAATAATGTGTGAGGAATTAATTTAAATTTCATTAGTTAAATATGAAAATTCCGGAATTTTGTCTACGTCATTGCTTGACCTTGTTTGTAATCGTTGTAATCGTCATTGTACTTTAAATTCAATGCACCATAGAAAAAGTGTGCTACCGCTTCTCAAATATGTACTTAGATATTAATAGACCAAACAAAGATTCATTTTATTGTTTAGTTGGTACAGTCTACGTAAAAAAATCTAAAAATGCTATAATAAATTTCGCACTATTACAAGTTATAATAAACTGAATAAGTAAATTACAAATGATTATTATAATTATCCCTTCCAGTCACCTAAAAGAATATTCAAGAAAGCGTTAAAATATGCAATCGAGTAGATAAATTATTATTAGCATTAGCAATCATACTGGAGAAATTTCGCGGCATTCCGAAGAAAACGCATGTGGAAGTGTGAGGTCGACGGATCTTCTTCACGTGAACTTTCGCGGGTATTTCGTTTGCAGTTTTGGGCCTTTCTTTCGTCCGTCTCTGCCTCTTTTGCTTTTCCCTTTCCTTCTCCTGTCGCCTTTTGGAGATCTCCTTCAGCCATTGGCAGAAGACCTGCTCGTTTTGCTGGATTTTCCTCCGCTTGTACTCTTCCAGTATTCTCTTCCGGTTTTCTTCTCTCAGCTTGGACAATTCCTGTTGCTTTCTTTTGGTTTCGATTTGCCTGGAAGTCAGGCCATATTCGGATTTCAGCCCGTTGTAATTCGGTAGGTTTCTTTGCACTTTCTGTCTCAGTTCATCGCAGCATTTCCTTTGCAACAGTTGCAGAGGCGGTATTTCGTTGGTATATTTCTCGTGAATTTCTAATTTGCTTATCAACATAGGTAGATCGAAGTCTAGTTTATCGATGCAGTGGTTTTTACACTGCACTTGCTTGACATTGTGCAGTTTTTTGGGCGAGCGTTTATTTTTCTTAGTAGACGTTTTGTTCGAGACCGCCACTGGTTTGGTTTCTTCGATTCTTTCTTCCTTTATTCTAGGCTTCTGGAATACTTCAACTTCGTTAATATCCGCATTGATGCTCTCGATTATTTCCTCATCGTCGGTATCTTCAGGCAACTCTTCTATGTTGGGTATATTCACCGTTTTGTATTCGAAAATGAGCCGTTGAGTGTCCGAGTTTTCATCGCGATCGCTTTCTATGCTGTTCACGTCTTCGTCGGTGAGGTCCGGCTCGAAGGAGAACAAATCGTTCTTGAATTTCACTTTAGGCGTTTTCGCATCGTTCGCGCGCGAATCGTAGGACGAAAATAAATCGATGTTGGCTTGTTGGACTTTTTCCGCTATGTTGTAAGGTGAAGAAGACGGCTGAAGAACTGGAACAACCGATTTCTTATCAAGCAAAAGTAGGTATTCAAATTCACTCGTGCAAGATGCGGATAAAGAATTGACCAATTCAGTTACCATAAACCACAACAAACTATTACCAATCGATACAAATGTTACTATAGCAACACAAAATAAGTGTTTTTGAAATCTCCAATTCAATTTAGTTTTAGAAGCAACAATATTCGAGCGATTTCAAAGAGTTTCTGACAAAATTTCATTGCATGAACACTTACAAAAACAATCCACGTCTTCTTCTATCTGTGATTGAGTATCCTCAGGAATTTGTTCCTTCGGCGAATCCATTTAGTAATTTATTTGTTGGAATAATTGATGCGGCGTTTTGAACTCGGGAATGCGAATGTTTATGTTTGTTGCCACCATGACAACAAAACAAAAGCTTCGAAACGTGCGAAGAGGGAATTTTAAATATTGTGTCCGAAAAATTAGTTTAACAATAGTAAAATATTTGGGAATTCGACGATTTGATTGAATCAAAAATATTGGAATAATATTAATTATAGGTATGTAGAGATAAAATAAAAAACCAATTCAATACAGTTATTAATAATTATTATTTGAAATGAATAATTTATAACGTGTAGATAATAAATAAATCGAATCAACTATTTTATATACAAAATTAGAGGATTATAATATTGCGAATATTAGACCTATCTATGTCTATTTACAAAATGTATTTTAGTGCCCGTAAAAAACACATTTAACAAATATCGAATTTCGGCTATATTAGTTTTATCATTATATTGAATTCTTATCACATCAAATACGTTCCGGAAAAATTCGATCGCGACTCGGGAGAGAAAAGCTTTAAAAACTGTAAAAAGTCGGCTCAATTTTTACAGAGCTAAATGTAGTAAATCTACACATATTTCCATTTAACGAACATTTAAGGATTACTAGCGCATTTTTCCATGTAGTACATATCTCCTAACAACTGCGTAATCGGTATTTCTCCAATGGTTTCCTTAAAAAACAGCAATTCAACGGTAAGCGATCTTATTGCCCTCAAACACGGAACCAACAGCAACAACCTACCAAACCTGGTCGGTTGTCTGGGATATCTAGCACGAATATAGTCGCCTAGGATGCACTGAGCCTGATCCTGCAGCATTTCCACCGGCTGAACATCGCACAAACCAGCAGTCTCTGAAATTATTAACTATCAGCCAACTAACCACCTAACCAACAGTATTCCAATTCTTGAACTCCTTCTAGTAAAGGAAAGTTAGACCAAAAAGTTTCAAAATAAAACTTACCTGGAGTAAATAGCAAAATAGCCTTCATGCAACCGCATTCACTCCCATCCGGAGATATCTGCCTGAAGCGACACATTATTTCCTGGAAAAGATATAAACATATCCACTTAAATATTCTCCCACCTTCAATCATCTCCCATTGAATTTACCTGTATAGTTTTAATTTCGGTAATAGTGTGCATATCGCTCGGCAGCCTTTCCCTGGCCTGCGGGCAATTCAGCAAAGCGGACAGATCCCAAGGCACCGACCACTGGGCCAGGTGCAGCAGGAACAGCTCCTTCCACGATTCCTGCAGCAGCAGCAGCTGGTCGTGCTTGCTCAGCGTCTGAAAGGGCGCCAGGCAGCGCACCCATCTCACCGCCATAAACAGCAATCTCGCCGCTGTCTCCTGGAAATCAAACGCCCAATCGAAAAGGAAGGCGGCAATTTGGCGGTAGCTCACCTGCAATAACGACCACGTGGGCGTCAGTGGAATCGGCGTGAAGGGCGAGTTCGTCGACAGGCTGATGCTCGTCGGGCTGGACAGAATTCCAGAGTCGCTCGACGATGGAGATTCCATTTGGGAGATTTTAGTGCCCCAAACCAGCTCCTGGCATTTCTCGGCAGACAGCAAGATGTGCAGCAATCCAGGAGGCGGCGGTATGGTGGAATGGTGGAACATGGGCGGTAATTGAAAAGCCGCTCCAGATTCGATCGTGGGACTAGGCACTGGAGGAATGGGAGGCGGTAGCGTTAGTGTTTTCATGGTGTGATGAGGCGAGGACAGAAACCCGGCTGGTGTTAGGTGCACGTTCCCCGTTAGCGGTGCGCAGCCCCCCGAACTGGTGGCGGTCATTTTCGAATCGGAATGGCTCGAGAGATGTTGAAGATGGTGTTGCATGGCGGTAGAATGATGCAGCTGGTGGTTGTTGGGCGGTTGGATCTTCGGTTTGCGCGGACCTCTTTCATGCTGCACGGCTGTAAATTAGTAAAATACGCACGGATTTAGCGGCCGGTTGTGCTAATTGTTTCACCTATAACATTATGGTCACGTGTATTTTTTAATAGATGAGTAATCTCCACGGCGATCGCTTACTGTACCATTTCTATTCCGACGCCCTCCCGCTCTCGGCATCCCCTTTTGCGGCGCTGCCCCGCATCCTGGGAATCGCCCAGCTGGCGTGCCATCGGTCCTGTCGCTCCTCTCATTAATGATGATGTGGCAGGAGAGAGAGCAGGAAAGGAAGCGAGAGAGAGAGGCGGCGGGCGCGCATTCACCAGGAGCCCCGAGACTACTTCACTTCTTCAGGACGGGCCTCTCTCACCCCCGCCGAATGCGATAATAAAGCACCCTATAAATCTTGTCGAAAACTAATTTTCGGCTTAACGAAATTTAGGTGTGATATTTTTTACGGCGCCGAATGGTTTTTTGCTTTTCTGTTTTTTTGTTGTCGGGTCCTTTATTCTTTTTTGTTATCTCGCCTCTCGCCGTTTTGTTATCATTTTTTTATTCTCCAGAGGGGAATTTTCTTTACTACGTAACTTCGTATCTCAATTTAAACAACTACAAACGACTTGAGATTATTAAATTACCTTTTAATTACAATTAAATTATGCAAGATTTCCAATATTCTATTTACATCATTCTGACCAATTTTATTCTTTTTCTCATTCTCTTCCTTTTTAATTCTTTTATTTACCTTCTGGACAATTTCTAAAAAGTTGTTCTTGATAATTTAAACTGTTTTTTAACAGATTCATTAAATGGTAAAGTATAGGATAAGATATGTATAGAGAGAAGTATTGGAAAATTACTTGTAATGCAATATAGGGGGTGTTATTTGGGGAGCGTAAGAGCTTTATTGTATAAGTGTTATATCTATAATCTTTTTAAAGGTACTAAAAGTGCCCGGAGGGTGTAAACGAAAAAAGAAGATTATAAGAAAAAGGGTAAATCTCCCGCCTCGTTATCCATCGGCATACATTTCGAATAAGTAACTTAGCGGGCTCGGTAAATTTAAAACGTTGTCGACGGGACGACGGCGAAGAGCAGAGAAAAAACCCGTCGCTCTAATAAAGACCCTTAATCCCTTTTAGCTCTTTTAAAAATGTAAAAGCGACCAAAAAATACTGTTTAACTTGGCGTTAGCGAAACGATACGGGCGGAAGCAAGGAGGAGCTTCGATTGAAATAAAAAGGGGCTCACGTTTAAAATCTTAATCACATTTTGCGCTCGCTGCTCTAAGTCGATTCGAGTCCTCTGATAAAAGAGCCGAATTTTCCGTTCACCATTTAATTTATTGATTCAGCATTTTAAAAGGAATAAAGTAAAATTCGACGGCATGGACGGCTCGTTAAATTCGATAAAATCTCTTTGCCATTTCCAACCTCAAAAAAAATATGAGCAAGATCATAATAAATGGGAAAATTATTATTGCAGAAATGTTTTGGTACTAATAGAGATAATAGTATTTAGGTATTCCTTGATCAGGCGATAATTTTTTGTTTGTCCCCAGAGCATATGAAAATTGGTAATGGTAGTTGTCTGCTCATGTTCTTCTACAGTTGTGTTTTGGTTATTAAGATGAATTCTTCTCCCAATTCAAGTACTAAACCGGAATTCCACGCCAACTTCCTCACCTGGTCGGATTCATCGGCGGGATGGACGCTACTGTGGTTTTGTGTAATAGTGAGCATTTTAAAGGGAGCGCAAGAGCAAAAGATCAAGCCGAATCCAGTGAAAGCACTCCTGTCGACTCTCCGGAATAAATAGGCCATCAGGAATGATGTGGGAACCGACCGATTGTGTTCACACATGGCGTGACGTTACCGCTGCTTCCTGCTTTACTGCTCTCCCGCCACTCTAACGATGTTCCGCCGCATCGGGAAATTTCGAATTAATACCCGCTTGGGATGAATTGTATTGGATGTATCACCTTCGGGCATATACGAGGAATGCATCGGGGTTCTTTTTTCCCGGCGCTTTCAATTTGATGTACATAACAAATTAAATAATCCACCTGAAAGGTTTTTGTCCAAGTTAATTTATAAAATTAACTGATTTTTTTCAACCTCAATTCGAGGTGGTTATTAGTTTGAATGTAGCATGTATCTTATATGGAAGTGGTTAAACAATTTCAAAATGTCTTTAATAAAGAGCAGAGTGAGTACATATCCGAATAAAGTGCTTAATTGGAAACTTACGGAGCTCGAAACATCGAAACATCAGAGCGCCATTTAGAGGTCGGGAGTTGGAAAGAAGGAGTCTCTCTCGGCGCGCGGAGCGAGAACGCTGGGGTGAGAGTTCGTCGAAGAGCGAGATGTTCTTTGTGAATTTTGGCGTTGTTTAGCCGCAAAACAAGACACCGCCATCGTCTTCTGCTCTCACGCTCTCCCCGCAACTTTCCTCGCACCTCCGCCGCCGCCGACGCCGCCGAACATCCGCCCGGAGTTTGGAAGTTGTCGGGAGCGGAGTCATCGACAACTTCCAACTTCCCGAGCCGCCGGAAGCGAGGCGGCGATCGCCCGCGGCTTGTTAGGTGATTATTAGATTAGCTTCGGTTGATTTCTTTCAGCATTTTTGGAAATATAAAAATTCGATTTGGCTGGCTGATCCCAATTCTTTTAACGGTTCAATTTGAAATCTTTCGGGTTTTACAGGAAATTGACTGTATCCGAAGGTATGATCAAAGTACTAAAAAAGATGGAACGGTACCTATACCACTTCTAATGCAAAAGTATAGGTATACTAATTTACTGAACAAACTCTAAATTACTTCACCCAGATCGATCAATAAAAGTCAAAAATAACCTCAAAAAGTGTATTTTCCAGGTAAGTAGGTATATGGAGTGCCTACATCGCATCCTGGTTTAAACCGTTATAGAATGGTACAACTTCCAGCACAAAAGTACCTGTAGCTAGTTGACTAAACAAACTCTAAATTATTGCCCCAGAATGATCAAAAAATGTGTAAATTTAGATCAAAAATTGCATTTTCCAGAGGTAAGTATGCATATCGAGTACCCATCACATCCACCTCTAAATCGTTATGGAATGGTACTATTTCCAGCACAAAAGTACCTGTAGTTGACTAAACAAACTCTAAATTATTGCCCCAGAATGATAAAAAATATGTAAATTTACATCAAAAAGTGTATTTTCCAGGGAACTATATCGAGTACCTATCCCATTCTCGTCTGAATCATTTTGTAATGGTACTACTTCTAAAACATTAGGTAATTTACTAATTAAACTCTAACTTACTGCCACAGAACGATCATAAATATGTAAATTTACATCAAAAAGTGTATTTTCCAGGTAAGTATACAGAGTACCTATTACATTCTCGTCTGGATCGTTTAGGAATAGTACTACTTCCAACACAAAAGTAGCTACTTTACTAAAAAAAACTCTAACTTACTGCCCCAGAACGATCAATAAATGTAGGACATTTACATGAAAAAGTGTATTTTCCAGGTAAGTCCCATATCGAGTACCTATCGCATCCTCGTCTACACCGTATTACTCCAGGCTTAACGCAAGGCCTTTGACCTCCTTCTCCCGAAATCCCCAAATCCGACCCCAAATCTCGCTGGCACCGGTCGAACCGTTTGCATATCCCGTCCAATCTCCAATGGAACGGGCGAAGCGCGCGGGGGCGGGCGGACGGCGGGGCGACCGGGGGCGGCCTGACAGAATGACATGACACTATCGGATGATGGGATTACGCCGGCTTAGCGCCGTTGTCGCTACCATCATACTCTCGTCGCACATCGACATCGGTGAACGTAAACACGGACACACACACACACACGCACGCATGCAGCTCTCCGTTTATCCGCCGGATTTGCGCCTTGCGAATTTTCCGCTACACGAGCGGTCGCCGGAGAAAATCGGATAATTGCTCGTAAAAACCTATAGACCCTATTATTTTAGGATTCATCTCGCTTACATCGAATATTAATCCAATCTATTATGTTTATCAATATAATTTCTAATCTACTTAACCAACTTTTAGAGAGTTTCTTTACATTCGAGCTTAAAATTTGTCTGAAATTCAATCCAATTCTACATTTTTTGAACACCCTGCATATTTATTAAGGCAACAAACAATTATTATGGGCTTTGCATCGACGAAAGGTGCATGATAAACTCGTCGACTAGGCCGTATTCATTTTCTGACCGGCTGATAGATCTTAGCTAGATCGGAAATGAAGAGGGAAAGCGGCTTTATCCGAATTAGATAGTCCATTAATCACACGGAGCGGGAGAAGTGGCTACGAAATGGAGAACCGTAAGCCGCAAGAGTTAGACGTTGAAGTTATAAGTTATAAACTTGATGGGATAGACGCGAGAAAGCGCAACTTTGACTACCGATCCATTCGATTTTTTACACATCGGAAAATCTTGCGAAAAGTAGGTCAGCACCACAAAATAACAAAGCAAGTGAATTATTCGTATAATAAAGGATATTCTCTTATTTCGGCTAAATTCCTGCAATATGGCCAAAATAAACAGATATTACCCACCTATCTGGATTTGTATCACGTTTCATTTCATTTCCAATCGAACGTTCGTGAATTATGGGCGATGTATCCGCGAATAAATAGCGGTTTTTTTTTTAATAAAAAGGACGAATACGTCGCTCTCGCAGCTTGATAAAAATTAGTCCTTTCGGGGGCGCTTTATTTCGGGCGGTTTTATTTTCCGAACGAATCGAACGCTATGTAATTCACGCTGTTATCACTCGAGGCGATCCCGTCGACAATAGGAATACAATCATTTTAAATGGATCGCATAGAGGAAAATAAAAATAAATGGGTTTCATTTCATAATTTGAATCGAACGGGAATAGAATATCGAGTCCGTGTTTTCCACTGTGATGCATGTACCTTGTATCTTAAGAACTATCCCATATATTGATATACAAATATAGGAAGGCCAGAACTCATAGTAGAGGTGAAATAATGAAGAAATAATCCGGAGTTTTAATTTTTTGGGGGCTATTATTATTATTAATTTCTACGACTCACCATCTTTATTCATGCTGGCTTGAAAACACTTGTTCAATCTGCAGGCCCTGCATTGATTCCTGTGAGTTTTGTCTACCGGACAGCGTCCCTTCATGTCTCCAGCGGCTTTGCATGTGTATACTCTGTTCCTGTGAATGCTGCGTTTGAAAAATCCCGAACAACCTATAAATAATTTCTAAATTAATTCAGCAAGAAGATTTTATTGATCAAATACAAATTGATTGGAAGTTCGTCAGTCTTTACACAATTGTCGAAATTCCTTAAAAATCTTGTTAGTATAAAATATTTTATATCTAATATTTCGGTCAAATTTAGGGAGAGAGCATGCTTGTTAAAGTCTACTAACATTTTTAATAGCTACAAGGTAAGTATTTGTTTTTATGAAAGAATCTTTACCGTCGCAACTATAAATTCCATAATGCTTTCCAGAACTTCTGTCACCGCAAACTTTACAAGGTATATCTAATAGTCGATCACCTAAAAAAATAAAGAAAAATTAACTAATTTAACTTACTTATTTATTTCATATAACAGGAGACCTGAAGAAACTTTCAATTGTATTAATTTCTGGACTTATTAAATTTGTGAACTTTATAAATTTATACTTCTTGTTTAATATCCTTCACCAAAAATTATGCTATAGAATTTTCCTACATATTGTCTTTCAATCACCAACGAACTATAATATACATCAAGGATTAACATAGGCACCTAATGCAATTCATGAATAAAATTACTCCGGCGTAAATCAAATCAAATGCTCCGGTCCGTTGTTAATCTTCATGACGATCAAAAGTTGCCAAGGCATAAAATCAAGAAACAAACATTCGCCCGCGTTCGACTTCAAAGAGAGCCGTCCGGGAAATTTAATCCCTGTTTCCTCTTGGAAAGCCGCGTCTTCGCGAACAATCGCGGCTAAGGAAATTGTAAAGCGATCCAGGCGGAAAAGGACATCCTCAACTTATTCCATGAATCGGTAATTTAGCTGGCAGGATCGGCTCTGCGCTGGGTACACGTATGTTTTCCCGACAAGATGAAAGGGTTCTGCATGTGGAAATGTTGAAATGTGGAAGGAATTGATTCCGTGATGTTACGAATAATTGGCTTGCTCTATAAATTTAAGTAGTGAAAATGGGACAATTTTGTTAAAGATGTTATTTATGATACGATTCCAATAAAGAAGTTCCAGTTTAGGGAAACCTGCATGCCTAATGTTTCATTTAAATATCTACTTACAAATTACTGGACGTGATAAGGTAGAAGGTAGTTTTACAGAAGATATTGGTAAAAATTTGGGATGGAATGAATAAAAAATTCATACGCTTTGAAGACTAGAAATTTCTTAAATGAACATTGAAACATGTGGAAATGTTTTAATGTGGAAGGAATTGATTCCGTAATGTTGAACAATGGGACAATTTTGTTAAAGATGTTATCTAGATAAGATTCCAATATAGAGAAGATCTATTAAGGAAACCTGACTATAGGTTTCCTACATATTTGATTAAATTTAGTGGAAATGATTTTGAAACAGAAGGTATTAATAAAAATTTGGGATGGAATGAATAAAAGCTTCGTACACTTGATAACCTTTGAAGACCAGAAATCTGTTGAACAATACACTGTAAACTAAGGTTTTTTTCATCCAGTAAATAATTTTGCCACTTAATAAATGCATGGATAGTATAAAATATGTATTTATTAGCTACATTCATACATTTTAAGAAAAGAAATGCTATCAGTAGGTTAATTCAAATATTGGAGATCATTTATTATTAAAAAACACTACAGATTAGACAGCAATATTAGTATAATAAATGAAAATGATTAGAGAAAATGATCTTACCTGTACCCATTCTCCGGCTCTGCCCGGATCGCAGCTTCCCCCAAAGAGCGGGATCAATTTTGCCGTCCGAAAATTCCGAATTCCAAAGACCGAATCAAAAGAGAAAATGCCACGGAAAATTTTCGAAAGAACCACCTTACAATCGTCACCTCTTCCGGATAGACCGCGTCGACACCTCGACCAATCGAACAGTCTCGTGACCGCTTCGAAGCTGAGCCGAAATCGCGACTAGTAGACTCCTCGACTCCCCGCAGGCCATTTTGTCACGTCCCTTTGCCCGCTAGGATGTCATCCCCACCGCCCGGCCTCCGCCGGAGCCACCCCTTCCCGAAAAACCGCTGCCGAGCATAGGGTTGGTAGAATGGCTCGATGTTCGATGTTCCGATGAAATTGTTAACTTGGCATTTCGAAAAATTCGCGTCACGTATACCGGGGTTAGCGATGCCGCAGTCGTCGCTCATTTCTGAAGGAGCGGGGGCCGCCCCAGCGACTGCCCCCGGGGGCGGCCTGCCCCGCTTGCTCTAGGTACTCCAAGAACTCGTCTTTTTCGGGGTTTTGTGTTTTATTTTTGACAATTTGTATGAGGTGTTTATAATTGTCTTGTTTCTTACAACACTATACGAGAGAACTGTACTACATGTTCTATCCACTTTTGTATGTATAAATGGCCTTCTTTGCCTTCGTTTTTGAAAATATTATGTAATAAAATTGAAATATATTTACATTTTTAATGCATTATTTTACAAAAAAATCCGAAACCATTTTTAACCTAAGCATTTATAATACGAAGGAACTGAAATAATTAACTGCTGTTTTCATCAAAATTTCAAAAATTTATCAACATATATAGGTATCTAAGTAAAGACAAGTGAATAAAATGGCTACATTTTCATTGATTCTCATTGATTTTTCAAGATCTTTTGAAGATGTTAGAAGCTGTTGGAAAAGTTGGACACAAACTATATTAGGATACCTAATACTCATTATTGTTTTCATTCATGTTAGTAATGCAGACACATTATTCAGTGACCATTTATTAATATTACTAATATTATTGAACTAAATCAGAAACTTTCATTATTATTTAGCTTTATTGTAAATAAACTAAATAAAATAGACTTTTCAATTATGATATTCGCCCCAGGAATGATTAATTTATTGTTCCTTCTATTAAAATTTAGCTGCATTTTTTAAAATATGTAGGTATTGAAATCAAATATGTTACATGTTTCCAAATTAAAACTTTCAATATTTTTTAAAATAAATTTAATTGGTCTCATTATGCCTATTATTATAGGCATACTATTTAGACTAATTTTATCGAGATTTTACTAATTTTATCTACATTTGCCTAAATTTATTTGGAAACATTGCAAAATTTAACACATCGAGCGTCTGCACATTTCAACGCAACAATTTTAACAGCAATATCCAATTAGTCCGATTAGCAACGAAATATGTTGGTAATTATCAATCGAAACTTCCCCGCGGAATACACGCGATATTCCACAAAAAACCGCAACCGATAAACCACCTTTTCAACATCGCAGCCCCCCCGAGCGGATCACACCCGGGAGCATTCCGCCCGATTGCGCTCCGCTGATCGCTTTACACGGTCCCTTTCGCCCGCGAGCCGCCGCCGCCGCCGCCGCCGCCGCCTCCGCGCCGCAAATCCGCAGTAAATCGGCGGTAGCATCAAGTGACCCGTGGTTGTAAAGTGTGGGAAGTCGCAGGTGGGCGGAACGACTTTGGGCGGCGCCGAGCGACGTCGCGGGCGTGGCCGACGCCGGGCGTCGGCCTATCGGCGGGCGCGTCTGGCGAACGTCGCTTTACAGTCAGGTGGCTTTCTCGCTGCGGCCGATGCTCCAAATGTGCTTAGCTAATTATATTGGGATGCGAGCTTTAAAGGTCGGTAAAGCTCCCTTTTATATATCTGGGGAACGCGGGGCTTCTTTTCTTCCAATTGCGGGCTATACGTAGGTAATAAGTTTTTGTATACCAACCTTTATAGAGCTTTTCTTGTTTCTTTTTTCGTTAATGTATCTACCTACTCGTAAATAAAATCGATATCTTCTTTCTACAGAGATCACCTGAATGATTCCGGAGAGATGATTTCAAAATGGATACGAATTATGGATACGAATGGATACGAATCTAAGCTAATAGAAGGTAAAAATAATGTAAAATAACCCTAACTTATTTAAAAGAATTCTTCATATTCTTTAGGTATATAAAGTTACCGATTGAAAAAATTAAGTTCTCACAAAATCTAGTAACCCATAAGTAGGTACATGCATTTATCTACTCTTTGTTTCCTTTTACTGGTATGACTGATAATAAAATGATTCGTATGAGATTTTTATCATAAAATAATAGGTATAAATAAAGTACCTATCTGAAACGTACTTAGATAAGAACTGTTCAATAATAAATTATCTAATTGTAGGTACTTTTTATATATCTACTTATTTAAGCATTCATTCATAATCTAAAATTAATTGATACCTTGTTCAAATAATTGTAATCTGTAGGTATACCTAAGCATTCTATATTTTTATAACAAATACAGGGTGGCCCAGAACTCACGCCTCACCACGATCATTCATCAGGAGCTCCGCCGATACCAATTTTTTTATTGCTTCAAAAGTGGTTCGAATCGAATTATCGATTTTTTGATCAAAATTTGGAAGCAAATCTTTGATCAATAGTCGCAGCTGATTTTGGCAGCTTTCGTTAATCTTGAAAGTGAAAAGGAGATAAAATCTTTCAATAATGTCATATTGGTGTACAGCTCATTCACGTCATTATCGTGGATTTGAACTGCTACTGGAATTGGTCGATTTTAAACCTCTTTATTGACCAAAGGAAAAACTTTTTCATGTCTTCGGCTGCAGTTTTGGCATCTCCATTGTCGTTTCCATAAGGCTTTTACCGGTGGGGCGTGAGTTCTGGGCCACCCTGTATAATGCATTAAAAAGATATCTACTAAAATAAAACTATAAAAAAGTATCTAATACTATCTACTAATAAAAATATCTCTACTCATGCGCTTTGTCATATATCAATTAAAATTGAATAATGTCGCATTGTATTCACGCCATAAGTACCCACGAGCAGCATAAATCCGGGTAGGTGTTCGTACACAGAACGAACGGGGGATCGGTTCGAGTGGAACAAGGGATACGTGAAAAAATTGATTAGCGAACAAACAAGCAGCACGTGGTGGACACGTCGAGAGCGAGGGGTCAGAGAGCGGAGAATGTTGACAGGCGATCTCCGCATATCCCGAATCCTGACGACGTCTGTTATTCCCTTAATCCTGCAAACGTGTTCTAGAGGTCCGCGTTCCGGCCTCGGTCGTCGGTCCCATCAATACCCCATCGCCACCACGTCATGTATTTTCTCACTCCCCGAATGTTATTTCGGATATGATAGAACGAGGTAGCGCGAATTCGATGACCATCATCGCAAGCTTCAAGACTTATTTATAGGTAATCCTGTAATAATTATTGAGGATTAATATTGTAAACTAGTATAGGAATAACTACCTTATAGAATACAGGGTGTTTCTTAACAGCTTGTATATATAAAAAGCAAGATTATTCGAATACGTTGCTAATTTTTTTTAATTACATAGCCGTCATACATTTAGCAATAAAAAGGCTGGCGGGTGTTGGAATATATTGTATCATTTTCACCTAAGTAGATATGCGATTGCGTTCCGAAAAGGATTGCAACCCCACGCGTATATTTGCTGTCATATCGATGTCGTGTCGAGTCGTCGGAGATCATGAGAACCGGGCAGGTGACGCGACCAAAGAGCGTGATCGTGCTCCAGCGCCCGACTGTAAACTCTGATACTGACATCACTTGTTTCTGACACATTTTATTTTCCTCTCGTTCCGAATATTTGTTAGTAGGCTGACGCTAATGCATGGTTTTCAAAATACATTGGCGTACGATCATCGCCTCATATCCTGCATTCTTTTGGTGACCTATTAAATATACTAATTGATACCTGTCTCAAGATACGAGTATCATCAGAAGAAATTCCTCTACAAAATTGTATCTAATCGGAAACAAATAAATTGCATACAACATACTCACCGTATGAATTTTATATTGTTTTTCTCATCTCGTACATTATGAAGCATCAATGAATTTCTGGGCGATCATCGGAAGGGAAATGACTGACGTTCTACACGTTACATCTGCACCGTTCCCATTGAGTCACCTCGGTCTTTTGGCTCTAATACTCCTGGATTACTATCGAGCCGAAATAGCATCATATATACCCCATCCTGACGGATTATATACGGGTAATATAAATAGATTTGTCGTTTTACTTGATACAATTAGCTGCCGGATAAGTTTCCCGCGAATTTACGCGGAAACGGAGAAGTAGAAACGTCTCTTATACGCTGGAGTGTGTATACTTATACACAAAGAGATACAAATCAATCTTCTATGATATTTTAGCGTACCCACCTTCACGTGTACCGGTGCTAGCGTTTAACAAATTATTCGAATGAGCGTCCTCCATTAATATTCCGCGGAGCATTAAAATAATTAGACCGTCTCGTCGGCGATGCGGAGACACCAAAACAAGACGTCGGGGGTGTTATTAATCGTGCTGAAAAGTTAGACGCTCATTTTTCACCTGGGCGCGAAATGGGGAGCACCAGACAATAGAGCGTCGCGTTGGTTCGCAATTGAGCGAAAAGGAGGCTCCGGTGCACGTACATATACACACCACTTAGACATCGGGGCGGATAATCGACTGTCGTCTTATCCATTAGCGCGGAATGTGACAGACGCTTCCACTTCCGCGAGATATGTCATTATTTAAATGTGAGTGCTCCGGGTTTTGTCCGGGTTTTATGCGATGAATGACTTGTTTATCGTACCTATACCTTCTTATCGATTTCCGAATTTTGTCGTTATAACATCTACCCAGCGGACTTGGCTCTCGGACAGGTCAGATAGATATTAAAATGAACGAATTGGCTCCGGTGATCAAATATTATTACCTGATTTAAGTTTGCAAATAAATAAATAAATAAATAAATGTAATAATCATTGTTGTCAAATTTATTTTGAATGTAGGTACAAATCAATAGTTTTTAAATCCAACGAATTATCATAAAAGAAATTGAACAAAAAATGTAGAGTAGAGTGTAGAGTGTAGAGTGTAGAGTGTAGAGTGTAGAGTGTAGAGTGTAGAGTGTAGAGTGTAGAGTGTAGAGTGTAGAGTGTAGAGTGTAGAGTGTAGAGTGTAGAGTGTAGAGTGTAGAGTGTAGAGTGTAGAGGTAGAATGTAGAGAGTATAGAGTATCTTTATTCTATATTATAGAGTATAAGTGAATAAAGGGTGGAGAGTGTAGAGTCTAAAGTCTAGAGTATCTATAGAGTATAGTGTATTTATATAGAAATATTTATATTTAGATAAACAATCTATGAGCTTAATTCGAGGCAATAATACAAATTTATTATTTATTTTTTCATTTATAATATTTTTGTGTTGCGTATATGAAACAAAAAGCGAACTCAATTGGATACATGTGTACAGAAAAACTCCGCTCCCTCTCACGGACAATAATTACCTACATAAGTAAAAAACCCCGAAGGTAGATAAAAAAAAAACGAAAAAAAAACCGAATTTGTCGAGGGGGGACCGCCCGAGCGCGCCTTCATTTCTGCATGTAAGGGCGTCGCGGCGCAGTCGATCACCTTGTAAAAACACGCCGTGCAGAAGAACGAAGGGCGGCCTCGGGGCCCTCGACCAGGTCGGGGTAATTGCTTCTCGCTAAAAATCACAAAAATCTCGGTCGAAATTACCTAAACGCATCTCTCCAGAAATTAATTCGCCGAGTCGAGACGTTCGCCGTTTCTATTTTTACGTACATTTTCCGGGGCAACGGGGACCCTCCTGTTTTTACGCGACTCGATTAATTAATTTTCAATTAGGACCGTTTATTTAACGATCACGCTTTAGGTAGTAGGTAAATCGTTCCTTAATTTAATTATTTTCCGATAAAAAAATTTTACAGGATGTCCAATTTTCCCATAAAAAAATTCCTGCATAAAGTGTAGTATACAATACAAAAGTAGGTTCATAATCATTAGTCTTACAATTTTTACAAAGGCAATAATTAGATGGACAATTAATGAAAACCTAATGCAGCATATCGATGAGTCAATGCATGGAAAACGGTGAAACGCTGTACCCGATAAGACGGTAATCCGGGGCCGGAGTGGCGAAGAGCGGACGAGCGAAAGGGGTCGCGAAAAAGGGGTAGAATCTTCGGTCCAAGTTTACCGAAGGATTTGATCACTTACCGCCTCAAACATTACAATGCGGTGTCGATGTTGTGCGCGCACCGAGAGATTCGGTTTGCGTTTCCAGCGAATAATTAATTTTTTAGCTTAGCTCGAGCGATCTCGCACCAAGCAAAGTGCGGGGTTTCTTTCGTTTTTCGTTAAGTTCATTTAGACATTTTTTCGTTAAGAAGATTGCGCAAAATTGAATTCGAGGACTGAGTAAATATTAGCTGTTAGTTGCAATAAAATGTTCTTCAAAAAATATCCTCTCCTAAAACCCACCCAGATATAGATATTTGCAATAAATTATCGACCTAATTTGCATCAAATTTATTTAAAACAACCCCTAAACAAAATTCTAATACTAAATTGTCACCTTATGCATAATAAATCCCCTTTACAATAACCTTAAACATCGCCCGATATTATGTAGGTCAATCGATCTGTGCTTTCCTAGTTTCTATTGTATGAATCGGATTCACCGAAAATGACCATTGTCAATTGCCGGATAATGATCCATTATTTTTACCGTCCGGTTTCGATTTAGGGCTCGTTCTAGTCGAGCATGGAGTGACCGTCGATATAGGTCTCCATGGACGACGCGGCGATTCAAACTGACCGCGATCGAGTGTATCAGAGGCCTTTCTCCATCGGTGAGTACTCGTAAATTCGTAATGAACGTGAATTATTCAATATTTTTGATAATTACAGTGGAATTAAAATATCTGTAGCGTCGATTTCTTTTGCTTGTAGACGTTTATTTTGTCGGTGTGGAATGGATAAGTGCGGGGTTATGATTAATGGTTTAGGTGTGTTATTTGGGGTTGATTATTAGATATTGACAGAAAAATGATTTTATTAGGGGTAAACTGGTAAATTGGACATCAGTTAGGATTTGTGCAAATTTCTAATTTGCTATAAAAATAAGAAAATTAATTACTTACTTTTATTTTTGCTTTTAATTTTATAAGAAATTTAAAGCACCAAAATTTTTCTTTTATTCCCGTTTTGTATTGTCATTATTTTTTTATCTTACTACGCTATCAAACAATTATGTCTTTTAATAATCTATTAATCAACTATTGTATGGTAAAAAATCGATTAAGTATACCTATGTATAGAAATAAATAATTTACTTTTATCTACAATCCGTTATTATTCCTTTCGCATTTGTTACAGCGAATTCATCAAGAATGGTTCATAAGAATTATTTAGTAGGAATAAAATCTAGGGCAAACATGTAAGCTACATTTTAATTATCCTCACATATTATTTGATTAATTTCACACATCAACCATTAAGATTATATTTGTTCATAAATAAATAATTCATAGCTCTTACTCAATGAAAATCGTGATACAAATTAAATTGTGCGCTTTCCTTTTTTATAGCTTTAAAAATACAAGTCATTTAAGGAAACTTTCTATATGTACATTAATACTGGCGATAATATTCTTTATTATAATGGTTATATTTATTTCGTTATGTAAGTATTAAGACTTGCAAAGTTTAAGTGCACAGAATTCGTGTGTTTTCTTCAATCTCTAAGCATATTACAATCTTAGCACTGTGTTGAAAATCAATTACACCTAATAATCCCAGTAGGTATAATCAGTGTGGTGTGTTTATGTGTAAGGCACAATTTAAACAATCCTGTAACACCCTCTTGTCGATAAAACTGATTTTTAGACCTAAACAAAAAATCCAAATTATGCACATCCATCGAATGTCTGCGAGCGGCCAGCAACTACCTATCATCGATGAATTCCAGCGTCGATCCCTGCGACAATTTCTACGAATTCGTGTGCGGCAGATGGTCGAACGAGCACCCAAACCACGGCTGGTGGAGCTCCTTCTCCAGCTTCACCACCATCAGCGAGAAAATCGCCATTACCGCCAGAAACGCGCTGACCAATCCGCCCGATGCCAGCGAGCCCGAAGCCGTTCGAAAGAGCAAGAATTTTTACACCTCTTGCATCGATTCAGGTATTATTAAAATACACAGTGTTAATTTTAGAGTAGAGGCATATTAGCCAATATAGAAGGTTGTATATTTGATGTAAATGATCATGCACTAATGACAAGAGTACAATTTTAGAAACCATCGACAATTTGGGTTTGACGACTATTTACCCTTACTTGGGAAAGTTAAATTTGCCGATCGTGCCGAGTTTACTGAACGCCAGCAATTCTTCGGCGGTGAAATTCGATTGGCTTCGAACGGACGCTTTGGCTAAGCAGTACCTATTGATGGATTTGTTCATTGGGGCGACTGTGGGGCCGAATATCTTTAACGGCTCGCAGAACGTGCTATACGTGGGTAAAATTTACCAAACGACTCCTCTACCGAGGTACATAGAGATGAGGAAGAAAGCCGAGTTTGTTCAAAAACATATTCTTCTGTTATAGTCCTTTGAAGAAGAGTCAGAAGCCGTTAAATAAAAGAGATACAAATCAGGAATTGAAAAGAACAGTAAGAAGTAATATTATTAAGTATTTGATAGGTCAAGTGGTCTTCAACACTACAGGAACCACGCCAGCTGCCAATTTGCTGGAAAATGCCGCTGATGTTATCATGGATATATCCGATTTTGTCGATGAGGTTAATAATTACAATAATAACGCTTTCTACAATTATTAACATTCTGCTTTAATGTCTCAACCAGATCGTTTCTAACACAACCGATCCGTTCGAAGAAGAAGACGAAACGTACTCGATACCAATACGGAAACTCCAACAGGAAATCGCCGGTAAACAACCGAAAAATTTCCTAATCGACTATTTCAACGAGCTCTTCAATCGCACGAACGTCACTATTAACCCCGATTCCGACCTGGTTTACGTGACCGACGCCGACGTAACTTACCTGAAGACGGTCGTGAATTATTTATCCGAAACGCCGGATGTCGAGGTCGAGCTCTACACTTGGTGGACGAGCGTTTACGCCATGATTTTCAGCACCTCCGACAATTTTACCGAGCACATCAAGAAGGAATTGAACTCGTACGCCCGCGATCAGGAGAAGATTGTTCGGTCCAGGTTTGCATTCAAATTTACTTGAAATACTTGTGAACTACTGTATTAATTTAGGTCTTTGGAGTGCGCTTTGCTGACCAATAACTACATGGGTTATGCGGTGAGTTACGCGTTGGCGGACAGATCCTTCGCATCGGATACGAAACCGAAAGTGAGACGTGATAAATTCGCTGGCATGCCGGTAATTCAGGGGGTTTCAGGTGGAGATTATGATAGAAGAGATCAAGAACGCTTTCGTGGCTCACGTGAAAGGCATACGCTGGATGGACGGGAAAACTAAACGAGCCACATTAGAAAAAACCAAGGAAATGCTCACGTTCGTGGGTTATCCTGATTGGTTATTCCAGAAAGGCAAACTGGATGAGCATTACAGTGATGTATTAACGATATTTTATTATCAGTTTTATATTTTTTTACCAGCTTATCGTTGAAGTGATGTAAGATGTTTTAACAAAAATAACGTGGTTTTTAGTACGTTATAGAGCCGGGGAGGTTTTTGGATAACATGGTAAGCGTGATAAATTCGCACGCGATAGACAATTTGAATTCTTTGAGAAAAACGCACAAAAGGGACTGGTACACTGAGCCGACTGAAGTAAATGCTTTCAATTCGTTTTCCGATAACGCTATAAGTAAGTTTTACGGGTATACAGGTGGATTTTTTTAGATGTTTCTTTTTCAGATGTACCGTTCGCGATTCTGAATTTTCCCTTGTACAATTTAGGTCTCGAGTAAGTTCGATTCGAAAGCAAATAGTGGATATTTAATAATGTCGGTGAATTGGTTTCAGAGCGTTGAATTATGGCGCAATTGGGTCGATTTTAGGGCACGAAATCATCCATGGATTCGATAATATAGGTAAGGAAATTAAATTAAAATCCTTTAAGCTCTAGAAAAAAATTAAAAAAACCAAACCTTTGCAGGAAGAAAGCACGATAAATACGGCAATTTTATACAATGGTGGACGAATCAAACGATAGAATCCTTCGAAGATTTAACGGATTGTTTCGTCAAACAGTACGATAATTTCACCATAAAAGAAGTAGGAGAGGTAATTTAAATGTAGTCGCACTGGGCAACTATTGAAAACTCTAATTTTCATCGGAGCAAGTGAGCAGGGATTGCGAACTAATGTAGCGTCGGCCTGTAAACGAGCTTATAGCGTCTACGTGCTCCGCAGGAAATTGGTTTTGTTGTATACGGAATGAATGCACTTCACAACCTATTTCCAGGTCAACGGGAGAGCCACGTTAGGTGAAAATTTAGCGGACAATGGCGGTTTGAATCAGGCGTACAAAGCGTACGTGAATTACGTGCGTAAAAACGGGGAAGAACCGAGACTGCCAGGGTTTCAAAAGTACAATAATTACCAAATGTTTTTTATAGCGTATTCCAGCGTAAGTGCACGCTACTATTTGTAACTAAAATATACAGGGTGTGCTGAATAAGAACCGACAAGGAGCAGCCCAAAATATGTTGTTTAACCAGCTATACAGGGCTTTTCAAGGAAACCGTCCATTGGAAGTTATAGGAGATCCTGAAGAGTTAGAAATCTCTAAATTTAGGAGTAAAGGATAATCAATCTTGGAAGGTTTTCTAAAATATTTTTAACTATATGTGACTTAAGGTTATACCGTTAAATATTAAACTTTGATAACAACACCATTTGCCAAAATGCGCCACTTTTGAGTTATATAATTTTTTTTTCGATTTTTTTTGGAAAAACGGTCGAATGCATTTTCTAGAAAAACTAAAAAAAACTGAGTTTTCATGGACTATTTACAGGGCGTTTGAAATTGTATGACTAACTTAGCTAACTTAAAGTGGCTATAACTTTATTTCAAATGGATCACCCTGTAATTTTAGACATTGGACTATTATTTTAAATGGACGATTACTTTAAAAATGACTGGATTTGAGTATAGTGAATACCTATATGGATCGGAAGATCTTAAAATTATCCATTGATCTCCTATAACATCTAATGGACGCTTTCCTTGAATAGCCCTGTATTTTAGGCTCCCATACACAGTGTAGGTTCTCATGAGGAACACCCTATATGTAGGGGCAGGAAAATAATTTAATTTTATGTAGATTTGGTGCGAGACGATAAACGCTTCAGATTTGGAAGATCAACTGGAATACGACGAGCACTGCCCGAATTTCATAAGAGTTTTGGGATCTCTGCAAAATTCCGAGGATTTTTCCAGAGAATTTCATTGCCCAAAAGGGAGCCCGATGAATCCTGATGTAAAGTGCAAAATATGGTAAAATAGTTAATAAAATGTTTTTAGAAAAAAATGTGTGGATTTTAATGAGTTTTATGAATAAAAACGACGGTTTATTACACATTTTTTTATTAAGGCAATTGTGCTTGTTACGTAAATAAAAATAACATAATTAAATCAAATCGAATAAAAATGAAAATACGAATATTTTTTTTTTCTAATATCTAAATAACAATCACTGGAATAGTGTAAAATGACAAAGCAAAAATAACATAAAAAAACCATTTCAGCTTAGCTTAACTTACAAATTAACCACGACTAGCCCAAAATATAGCAATTTTTGTATTTTATTCTGTTTATTGCATTCTAAAATCGTCTATTTCTAGAAAATTTTTATCCTACCACTTTTAAACTTAGTACCTTAGTTTAATATTCCGATATTTACAAATTACACCTAATATGTATCTATTAAATCAATGTACAGCTGCATTCAACACAAAAATAATTAAACATTAAAGTTGATTACACGTATAGATTTATAATTTGCAAATATCGAGAACTTACACAAACTACAATAGTTTTTAAGCTCTCCCGTCAAAAGTAAGAAATTAATTTCAAATTATCCGCTTAAGAAAATTCAGTGTAATGTTAATCGAGTTCGATTTTATTAAAAAATACTTAGTTGTAATTAAAAATAATGAGGAATAACTAAGGCAAGTTAATAAAATAATACTAAAATTGATTCAACAAATCTTCTGAGTATAGTAAAAGAACATTAAAATAGGCAAATGAGGTTTGAATATTTTTAATAAAACACGAACTCTACAATATTCAAGCACTCTTCTAAATCTGTATAAATATATAATCAATAAATAGAACATTTTTCCACTTAAATATAATAGCTACTCTACAATGAAAAATTCAGGCAAGTAAGAAGGTCGACAACGGTCGTAATTTATTTGCATTCTTATTATTTCAGAAATAAAATAGATGTTAAATTCCTACAATCGATAAATTATTATTTCCCGAGCAGATCTCGTCACTCAATCGAACAAAAAATAATTTAAAGAGAAAGTTTCGAAGTGTAAATGAAAATAAGTGAGAAGTTTTCCCAACTAGCTTTTATCACATCTTCCCATATAAATTTAGAAAGTTCAAAAGAACTACTCGCACGCATTCTAATATCCTTTTCAAATATCCATCGAATAAGTTGATTTAACTTTTGTAGACTTTTATTGGTCCATTGTCACATCGAAATTATACACGCATAATTCCATCAAAATAGCTTCAGAAATTTTTCCCTCAACGATTTTTGGCAACGCGCTCTATCACTCATCAACTCACCATCATACGAATAAATAAAGGTTTTAAAAATTCTTGCACACTAATCAATTTTGCAGTGAAATTCACAAATAAGATATTCGTAGAACAAAACCCCGTTGTCACATAAAAATCATTTCATATCGACGATAAACTGGAGAGAAATACAGCATTTTACTAAACAGTTAAACCTACTTGGAAAGCTGAATCGTGTATAATAAGCAAACAAATTAAACACGTTGAGTATTGTTCACCTTAAAGTCTCTGTCTGAATTTTTAAAGGCTTTACAGAAAATTTCGGATTTGGCTTTTCAGAGGAACACCATCCTATACACACAAGGTGATGTAATAACGATACATACGGCAAAAATTTAGGAATTAAAAAAATATACACAACGTTCAAGTATAAACCATTTTATTATTATTAGACCACCCTGTAGAGCGAAACACTCGAACGTTTTCTACGGAAAACGTCTTTACCCTTACCTTCTAAAAAAATCGGTGATGTAAAATTCATTTCTATTAAAAACCACGGCGCGCCAAAACGGATCCGTCAAAAGCGCGACGTCCGTTTTGGTCACGCGATAAATGCACAGAGAAAAGCTTGACCTTTCTTCAATCGTTAAAATTAGTTGCTTTGATTTACGTTTTAAAGAAGCCGTAGAAGTTTAAAATGCACTGCAAGTTTTAAAATAAGCGAACCCGCCTCTTCATGTCGCTCCTCTTCCACTGCGGCATGCGGTAGAAATCCGATCTCGCCACGCCGAAACACGCCTCGAACTCTTGATCGGACAAATGTCTCTGAAAAACGATGAGTTTCAGTCATATAGAGTGCTTTAAAATTGAAGCAAAGGAGGCAGAAGCAATTGAGGCAAATTGATATTCTGGATCCAACTCAAGGATGAAAATTAAGACAGTTTATTCGTATACTCATGAGGGGACAGTTTTATTATCATTTAAAAGTAAAAGACTCCTTAAAGTTGAATTATTTCGCATAAAGTTTGTATGTTTTAAAATAACAATGACGTCACGGGCCGGCCTGTTGCAACGTTGCCGGGCTGTAATTGAAATCCTTTATATGACAGATACATTTAATTTAAGGTTATTTACTTCTAATGTTTACAAATTAAAAAAAGTCACAAATAGTACAATTTAAACGTGAAAAAGAATGTCGAGAGGAGATACGAATTCGTGAATATTAATTTAACTGAATGTTACTACTAAAAACACAAAGAAGAGGCGGGAGAAATTGATAAACTTACAGAAACCGCACGAAAAAGTATCTAAAACGGACGAAAAACACAAAAATGACTAGTAAAGTCGAAAAAATAATGAAACAGGAAAAAGGTAAAAATCGCTGGGTATCATTTAAAACCCTCCAGAATCATATACAACTGTCTAGAATCATTTAGGACGCTCCAGAACCATTTAGAACAGTCTACAACCAATTACAGCGCTCCAAACGTTCCAAAATCATTTGGAACTGTCTAGAATCAGTTAGAATGCTTCAGAATCATTTAGAAATAAAACGCCTCAGAATCATTTGCAACTATCCAGAATTACTTAAAACCCTCCAGAATCATCTAGAACTGTTTAGAATCATTTAGAACGCTCCACAATTATTTAGAACTGTCTAAATCAAACAAGAACGCTCCAGAATTATTTAGAACTGTCTAGAACAATCTGGAATGCTTCAAAATAAAAATGAACCATTTAGAACGCTCCGAAATCATTTAGAACTGTCTAGAATCATTTAGAACCCTCCAGAACCATTTAGCACGCTTCAGAACCATTTAGAACGCTCCGGAACCATGTAAAACGCTCCAGAAACGTTTAGAACTGCCTAGAATCATTTAGAGCGCTCCAGAAAAAGACAAAAATCGCCGGGAAAGTCACAAAAACAACAAATTGTAGTCAAAATGTCTCAACTAACAAATATCGGAAATTTGAGGCTAACGATATGGCAACAACGCATCGGCAATTCATCCTCGCAATGTCAAAATCCCCTAGTCAAATGCCGGAATTACCATTGACACAGGGACATTTCGAACCGCGTGGAAATTACTAAAAATTACGTCATAGTCATTTTAAAACGTACGAACTTTAGACACGAATGTTTTATATCCCAGCTTCGCAGGAATGAGAATCTCTTCTCTACTCACCTCCAAGTTCATTCGATCGACGTCCGACGGCAGGCGGAAATTAGAGACTACCAACAGATGATAGGGATAGATTTTCGCCGGTTCGTTTATCAGCATCGAATGCGCCATGTTGGGCAAGGAACGTCTCACCTGTTGGGACGCGTATCCCGTGGGATAGCGAACGAACGGGCCGGTGTACGTCGTCGAAACGGGCATCTCGCAGTGCTGCAACGATTAAGACGCGTTAAAACACGTTTTATAGTGTTAATCGATTTGTACTTACCACTGCGCGTCGTTCCACGTCCGTTATGGAACCTGTTGAAACTAGAACAAGCGAAGAGAGTTAGCGTGTCGACATTTTGAGCAGTAGAAGAAATTGGTGTAGCTCCATAATTAGAAACGGACGAATTTCGGGACACCCTGTATAGTCGCAATTTACAATTGCGATTTTGAGCATTTTTATATCGAGAACGTGATGTATATAAATTCCAAAATAATCCAATTAACTACGATTTTTACAAAACTATCCAGATAAAACGACAAAAATTTCCAAAACGGAATGCGATTAAATAGCACGAATAAATAATAAGGAAGTAATTATCAATTCCTCCTAATCAATTTTAATAACGGAGCTTCAGAAATACGCAAATTTGGCGTCCAAATACCCCTAGAAAATCGATTCCTTTAACGTGAATAATTTAACACACCTCTTATACAAATATTAACTATAAAAACTGGCCGAACAAACACATAAACACCCAAGTATACTGTACTTACTATCGGATTTTCCGCAACTGAAGTCAGAGCTGTAAGTTTTAGTACCCATCCCGCTAAACGGATAATCACCCTGTGAATAGGAAAATACTTGTAAATAAAGCAAGCGAAAATACTACGATACTTTTCCTAGAATTACTACGACAGCATTTCAATTCTAGTAAATTTTCTAGGAAACTTTGGCTGAAGCGAAAAATAATATCAAAGCACAGGTATACTAAGTTATAAGTAGAGACTGGAAAATATGCAAAATGCATATAAAGTGCATACCTAAACCAAAATTAAAAATGCAAATTCGGGTCATTGAAAGAAACACCGCTCATTTTAAGAACTCTTAAATATAGTATTCTGAACGGTTGTGGGTCATTCTAAATGGTTCTAGGCAGTTCTAAAGGATTCTGGACCAGTCTAAATGATTCTGGAGCGTTTATGATTCTAGAGCGTTCTAAATGGTTCTAGACAGTTCTAAACGATTCTGGATCGTTCTAAGTGGTTCTAGACAGTTCTAAATGATTCTGGTGCGTTCTAAATGATTCTATATCATTTTACTAATGTTCTAATAAATAATAAAGTCTGATAATCGGCATTGTATGTGTATATATCTTCTTTTATATATCTTCTTTTTATAATAAAATTTTGAAAATTATTTTATATACGGCTGTTTCGGTTTTTTTTTTCACCGAGCATAAACAAATATAAGTGCATATTTTGAAGGTATTTAGTGCACGTTTGCATGCATATTTTGCTATTTTAAGTGCATATTTTCCAAGCTCTAGTTATAAGTAAAAAGCGAGTACGAACTTGCCGACACGAGTTTAAGTGAAAATTTCAAATTAAAAAAAATATATTCCAGCAAGTTTCGTAATCGTTTAAAAAAAATCCGCATTTTCACAAATAAATAGGCGGAAACAAAAGCTAGATTAAACTAATAATTGATTCGAGTAAATAACAATTTCCTGCCTTTTAAAAACGTTTGGGTTTATTTGAACTACTCTCATGGTCAACATAATAAAATTGCTAATTTGCCTTACACGTACGTTTGTTATCTATCGCACTGGTGCTCTATTTGTTGACGATAAGAGTAGGTCAAATTTTTATCAATTACTAAGAAAATTTAATTAAAATATAACAAGAGTAACAATTAGGTTGACGAAAAATCATTTTTGTACAATTTGTTAGTACTTACAAATTCTTGTCTACTGGATAAAGTGGAGGATTTAAGTCCGTAACCGGGTTTAGGTACTGTTCGTAAAGATGAAACTACTATATAAAAGCAAAAAAAAACAATAATAATAATGAGATTCAAAAAATAAAAAATGCATGCAAATATATGATGATTGAAAGTATTTGAATGTTGGAAGATGTATTGTAATGAAATGTGCAGTTTAAGGTGTTTCTAAAAAAATAAATTTATGTTTGCAAACCCAATTTAATCGTAACCCAACCTTGAAGTCTATTTTTATATTACAACAATTTGTTACCTTTTTAATTTAATTAGTAAACAACTTCCTCAAAATGCTCAAAATCCCAAAAAAATTATTTCCTGATAGTATAAGTTAATTTAATAAATTGATATTATTTCAAAAATTATTTAAATATAAAAAAAACTTACTATTGTAATTAGGTATAGCACCGACTGATCTGCCCATAGACGAACGACAACTCATAGACCTATCGAATTCCAGTTCATCATCAAATGGTCTGGGATGATCTAAATTTCTTGAAGGACTAGCACCAATAGGATTGTCGTATCTGAATCTATAGTTCGGCTCTTTATTCGCAGAAGGAGTTCTAAAAAAACCAAAATAAAACACGCAATTTATAACATGTAAATAGTAAATACCTAGATGCATTCCTAGGATCCAAATTAGCAGCTTTCCATTGCTTGAACTTCTCTCTTTCCTGCACGTTCTTCAAGAAAACCTTCCCTATACCACTAGCGATTTTACTCAGCTCGTTCTCTTCTTTCTTCAATTTCTCATCTTGAATATCGCCCTCCTTGGCATTGTCCACTTCATCTTCATCTGACGGCACACCTACACAAAATTCGCTCATGCAACTCCCGTTATACGCGCTATTATTAATAAAATACCTTTGTACGAATCGGACCAGCGTTTCCGGCGCTCGGGATCGGTGTAAGGATACGGAGGCGCCGGAAAATCGTCGCGTTCGATCTTCGACGGCTCGCCGGGCGGCGGCGGTTTGGCCCCCGGGAAATGGGCCAACTCGATGGGCTCCTCGTTGTTCATGTGCGGCGACTTCGGTCTGGGCACTTCGGTGTGTATGGAATCGACTAATACCTTCATACCGGACCTCGATGTGCTCCGTCTGCCCGAACCCGAACTGCTACGCAACGAGTTTTGAGCTTGAAAAAGGAGGAAAACAATGTTAATGCTTAAATTATCGGTTGGGGATTTGTTGTAATTACAAGTCGGTCTGTGGAAATGCGGCGAAGTGGGTGCTTTATCGTACGGGTGGATAGGTTTTCTTAGGTAACCTGGCTCGTCGGTTAGGTAACTATACGTGTATATTCTGGATATATCGTCCATGAAATTAGCTGATTTGTTGTGGTCTCTTAATATTAAACCCGGCGACGGTGATCTATAACTGTACATCTAAAAAAACAATATAATTTCCGTATTAATCAACTATAAAATTATTGTTTTTAATACAATATAATCAACTATAATAACATAGTGCAAACTCAAAAGGATAATTAAAAAACGAACCTTCCTAGACATGCTTGTAGGACTATATAATGAACCGTTCAAGCTAGGAGTGCGCGATCTCATGGAAAACTGCAAAAACATGCAAAATCATAATCACTAGCACAATAAAATAAAACGTTAGTTTCTATAATACGAAGCAAAACAGGCAATCAAGCAAACAACGCAACAAAAACTACTATACCTGAAGTTCACTAGCACCAGAAGTGCTATGTCTATCGAAATCTCTGATCGATATATCAGTATCGGTGCAATGGCCGTTTGCTTCGCCAGTTCCGTTCAGGATCTCCCCGTTCTCTGTAGGTCCAGGGCCGCATCTGGGATGCCAAATAGCACCGCCTTGCAAGTACATCTCTTCCCCGTCTCCGAACGGGTCCCCGCATTTGGTGCAACGAGCACAAGTAGGGTGGAAATGATGGTTATCGCCAGCCTGTTTAATTCGAATTTAGTAGTTTCTACTGTGAAAAACGCGGCGTTAATTTACCTGTAAAACTTTACCGCTGATGAATCTGTTGCAGTAAGCGCATTTAACGCCGAACTGCTTCTGGTAATCCCTTTCGCAATACGGTACTCCGTTTCTTCCCATGTATTCGCCATGCAATATTACGCCGCATGTACTGCACTTGAAGCACCAAATATGCCATTGGCGATCTAAAGCGACCAGCGCTTGACCCTCCTTCAGTTCTTCCTTGCAGCCTGCGCATTCTGAAATAAATACAGTTAAGGTTTCCTTGTGTTACGCGCAACAATTTATTTATTATTACCATTGGCGCTGGCGTTAGCATTGTTTGTAGTTGGGCTACTTTTTGAAGTAGTCTGAGGTACTGGTACTTGAACACATTTCGGGCAGAGCACCTCTTTGCCGGTATAGGTAACTTTCTCTCCAGCCGGAAAGTTTTGCTTGCACCTGTTACACGTGAAACATTTCTGATGGTATGTCTTTCCTAGCGCAGTAACGACCTTAAAGATTATTAAGTTAAGGAGTTTATTTAAACCTGTGCTGTAATTATTACCTCGCCCTCAACATATTCGTTACAGATAGCGCATTTCGACCCAAAATTCTTTTGGTAATCGTTTGTACAATAATATTCCCCGTCCTTGGAGAAAAATCCACCTTTAGCTAAGGAACTTCGACACACTTTGCATTTGAAGCATTGCATGTGAAAATATTTGTCTTGTACTCGAAGAACTTCTCCCGAGCATTTTTTCTTGCACGACTGGCAATATGTCTTCCCTAAAATTGATAATGCCCGTTAAACTCGAATATTTCATAATAATTAACATTAAAATGCAATTTTCATAAGTTAAAACAAATATAGGATGTGAGGCCGACAATAAATTTTGATAAAAATATAATCTATTAATTAAAATCAAGTATTCACTCGTCTACCTTGTACGTAACACATTATAAATTCCACTTCAAATACTACAAAAGTTTAAACTAATAAAAGTAAATTAGGGGCGAAGGCCAATGTACCTGTGTTCATTTCTAAAATTAGTATATAAACTTCGGAATTTTCCGAAATATAAGGAAAATAAGCACTTACCCATGATTTAATGTTGTTTGAAGCGCCTTGCTTATGTAAGCACCACTAAATAATTACACAATATTAAAATTAAAATAATAATTTTTAAAAAAATTAATTGTAAATTTGGGCGAGCCCATATATAAATGGTGACTAGTGACTACTGACAATTGGCACACTGCACTGAACTGACAGTTTATGTTTGACATTTGTGACATTTTAGAGTTTGCGTTCTAAGCAGTTTCTAAAATATTTCTTCTTTTTGCAAATAATATTTCTGCTTTACTTGAATAGTAACAGACCTATAAATATGTCAAATAGCTGTCAATTACCGGCAAATTTAAATTATAAATTTTGCATTCAGTTGATAATTGTTTTAATCAAAACAATTCGTTTTAGTTAAACTAAGTAAATACTAATCTAATGTGATAATTTTTTGTTGCATAATAAGATATAGTTAAAATTGTTAGGAAATGAAAAAAACAGAGTATCGTAAATTATTTATCACTTTATCCTTAAATATAAAATACATAAACATAAAAAAATCTAAATTAATCTTTTTTTTCTGGAGATTTGGACCATGATCTCTCTTTTTCAGTTCTTTCCTTTACTGGAGATGACCACGATTTAGAATGTGCTCGTTTCTCAGAAAGCTGTTTTGGCGTCATGAATGAAGAACTATCCACGGATTTTTCCCTAGAATGGCTCCTGGAAGCATTTTCTTTCGACGATTTACGTGCTTGCTTAGTCTTTAAATGCTCAGAACGCTTGCCTTTCGTTTTATCCTTCGATTTAGATCTGCTTTTAGTCCTGCTTTTATGCTTTGAAGGTGACCTAGATCTGCTCCGTCTTCTATCTCTAGATTTTGTTCGACTTCTGCCTCTGTGATTCGATTTACTATAAGAGTTCCTCGACCTAGATCTAGACCTTGAATACGATCTAGATCTAGATAAATAGCTGCGAGACCTTGATCTTCTGCTCCTCGATCGTTTTCTTGCTTTAGACCAACTTCGTGACCTGGACTTGGAATATGATCTTCTTGAATAAGACCTGGACCTCGACCTGCGTCTGGACCTCTTGTTTCTATCATCGTGCTCGTTTTCGAATTTATTGTAATGTTTTTGATACCGCTCTTCTAATTCGGGATTATATTGGTTGTAATTATTTCCACTTCTATTTCCTCTATATCTGTACCCTCCACGTCTTCTATTTGCTCCACCTATAACATTTTAAGATTATATTTTAGTTGTAATTGGTAGATGTGGTTAGAATACACACCTCTAGATGGTCCAGGAAAATTAGGGTACCTTGGAAAACCTCCTCTACCTCTAGGTATAAACGCTCCAATGTGATGATAATCTGGAAACAATTGTCCAGGGTGAATGTAAGGTGGGTAGCCTAACCAAGGAGGCGCTTCATACATCAATTCTGGATATTTCTGCAATACGGGGCTTCTGGGTTTTTCGCCTATAAAAATCGCTATTATACGAATACCTGTTGTATTATAACACACAATACTAGCCTGTTGGATGTATTGGCATATCTAAAGAAATTTCAGAACTAGATGATGAGTAAGTTTTCGTTCTAGTGCTATCTGCTAAGATAGTTTTGAGCATGACTCTGCCTTTGAGGGCATCGTGAAGTTTTTCTCGTTGATTCAACACTTCCAACTCGCTGGCATTTTTGAAGTTTTTCAATTCGTTGCGAGAGTGATTCGAGAAGTTGTCGAGATCCGAGTTTTTGTCCTACAGAAAAAGAGAAATGAATTAAATTGAATAAACTCCAGTTGTTTAAACTTGCCTGAATGCGCCTAAACAATTCCTCGACTAATCGAATGGCCTCCAATTTTCTTTGAACTCTCAACAACTTCTTCTCCTCTTTCGCGATTTTCTCGTTGATTTCATCGCTGCCTGTAATCTCTAGTTTTTCTAGTATTTTGGCTTTCCGTTTTTCTTCCCTTAATTTTCTTCTTATCTTCTTTTGTTCCTTCAAATCTAACTCCTGTTGTCTGAAAAATATTTACAAGTATTTAAATACGTACTTTATTCGAGAATAATGATAATTCTAGTGACATATACTAATATAGCTACGATAAGAATAATAAATATAAGGGTGACTATCATATAAAACCACCTTTGTTGCTGCTCTTTCTTTTTCTTTTCCTCCAATACTGCTTTATCTTTAGCTTCCTTTTCCTTATTCTTCTTAACAAGTCTATCGCGGACTATTTCTCTTCTTCTTATGGAAGCATCACTCAAATGCTTCGTTTTGTCAAAATCTACTTTAATGCTAACTTCAATTGCAGAATCGTCTTCTTTGTGCACTAGTTTCATGTTTCTAAGGGCGTCCATTGTTTTTGTAAATCCCATGTAATCTTTGAATTGAACGTACCCTTCGAAAAACTCCGTTCTATCGAAAGACGTTGTACGTAATCCGGATATTTGTTCTTTCATTTTCTTCCTGTATGGATCACAAATGGGAATATCTACATATCTGATGGATCCGAATTTCTCGAATGCTCTATAAAATAGTTTTTCCGAAGGTAGTACATCATCTTCTCCGGAAAGATGATAGGGTACGAACCATTTAGAAGGTAAATTCGTGATATGAATCGTGTCAGGTCGCTGACCGGGTATCATTTCATCCATATCTTTAGCCGATGAAAAAAAATCATCCCAAATTCTACGATGGGGGAAATCCGATTTCCACTCGCCCGCTTTAACTCTCATTAAATCACTGAAGTCTTTTAATTTGATCATTTTGTTGTTGACTTTCGAAAGTACTCTTTCTACTTTATCCTTGGTCTCCACTTCGCCCTCGAAGCAAATGAACTCGACTGTAGTTTTTGTAACTTTCAAAATGGTAAATTCGTCCGGGCGTATTAAAAGCTTGATTTTATCCATAATCTCCCAATGGGATATGCTTTTTCCCAGCTTCTTCACGTTCGGCAGTTGTATTGACATATTTATTCGAGCTATTGGCTTCAGGTAGAGCTGTTGTGGAAGATAAAACGGCACCAAATCGTCGGTGTTCTGACATAACTGAAAAGCATTCATAATTAGAGTTTTTCTCAAACAAACTCGTTCAAAGAAAAACAAGCATGAGAAATTCTCTAATTAACTAATGCTTTCCCAAAATGTTTTTTTTCAGTTTCCTTTAAGAATTCTAAACAGACTCGACGATCTTGACATTTACTTTGACAGGTTGATTTATAAACGTCAACCTCAATACATATTTCAAGAACTTGCAGAATAACCGAAAAGCTGCTGCCTATATACGAAAGAAGAAGTTTGTTATCACTGTCACTGTCAAAGTCAAATTAATTCTTCCTTTTTGACTTTTTGAAGTTTTTGAGCTATTTTAAATAAATAAGATTATTTTTACAAATTGAAGAAAGATAACTTTTTAGTGCAGCTTTTTCAGTTTATTTCAATTTCTAAATTATGTTTAAACAAGATTTCAAATACTACAAATCAAAAAATCCACATCCTAATTTAACACATGTTTTGGATTTTGAAAAATCATCGGAGTTATTAGAGAAAGGTGTTATAAAACAACTCAATAAAATAGAAGAAACTGCTTTAAATTTTGGATTGAAAAAACCCGAGGAATGGGAAATTTTCGAGATAAATTCCAAGCCTGGTTTGATTTACATTAGAAATCCTTTTACTTCGGACGGTCAAAGGTACTGGATAAAACAGTGTTTAATAGAATACACGAAAAAGCCACATCAGTTAAATATAGATAATTTAAACATCATACCAGAGGGTAAAGATTGGTGGGATGTAGCACAAATTGATAAGAAAATACAGGAGAAATTGAGATGGGCAACTCTCGGTTATCACCATAATTGGGACACTAAAGTCTATTCAGAAAGCAACAAGAGCGAATTTCCAAAAGACTTGAAGCAAATGTGTGAATATGTAGCTCACAAATTAGGCTTTGCACAATTCGCAGCTGAAGCATCGATAGTGAATTTTTATCATTTGGATTCAACTCTATCTGGACACACGGATCATTCTGAACAGAACTTAGAGGCTCCTCTATTTTCGTTCAGTTTCGGACAAACTGCCATATTTTTATTAGGAGGTAGAACCATCGAAGAGAAGCCAATTTCCATGTTTCTACGTAGCGGAGACGTTGTAGTTATGAGCAAGGAATCTAGATTATGTTATCATGGAGTGCCTCGTATAATAAAAGAAGATATTGATATATGGAACAACGAAGAATATTCTAATTTAAGCAATGATTTTATAAGTATTAAAAAGTCTGATTGGTCATTATTTAGTAATTATATAGAGCATTCTAGGATTAATATTAACGTAAGGCAAGTTTTAGATACCAATAAGTCTAGTTTAAACTCTTAAAAATAATATGGAATGAGTGAAAACCTAATTTCATGTACAAACTGAGAGTTTTTATCGCATTAATAAAGTGAAAATATTTGTTATTTTTGAATCCTCCGCCTCTTCTTCTTTTTATTTTTTAAATTGACGTATGACTTATAAATGCGTCAAAAGTAGTTCCGCGAATGTAGAGATGAAAGATATTAAAATGGCGTATAATAAAAAAAGATAAAAGACAATTTGACCAATCACAGGACGATTCATTTTTTTATGTGCTTTTCTTCTTGTTAGCGCTCTGCTGTTCTATGCTAAAAAATATGGTGGTCGACGTCGTTTCTCGGGCAGTGTTTTCATAATTTCATTTTAAATTAGTAGTCTCATTAATATAAATAAAATTTGCGATGGCAGAGGCCGCAGTAGAAGACAGACCGACCCAAAAGTTTTACTGTCATAGGTGTAATAATTATTTTACGAATGCATCAGCGGTAAATAGCGCATGAAGGTAGTTGTCACCGTTTAGTTCTCATTATTAATTTCACCGTAGAATTTCACGTGCCCCCATTGCTCCGATGGCTTTATCGAAGAACTCCAGGACACCCCCGATAACACAGACTACGATAACTACGAGATGATCGACGTAGAGGATTCGGAGGGAACGGACCAAATTGTGAGTTGTTACATGTAATAACGATAATTGCGCGTATTGTAATACAGATTGTTTCGTTTTAAGATGCATGATCTGATGAGTAATTTACCTTTGCACTTAATGGAGGAGCGCAGAACGAGGACGAGGTCCGAAGGAGGTCACCCGATGGTGAGCTCCGGCAATGGGAGAAGGTACGCTAATCGTGCCAGGATAGGTAGACCCAGGTCTGAAAGATTCATTATAAATGTTTGCATGGACATTACCAGGGTTGAATTGTTTTAACTTTTTTAACCTAATAAGTTAATTTATTCGTTCAGGTCATTTTTCTAATACTCCTAATTATTCATACATGTTAAATGTTTAGTTATTTGTGTATTGTAAACGTTACAAAAACAAAAGGCATTTCACAAAAAAAATTGTTAGCTATTTAAAGTTGCTGGAATTCTAGAAATTTCACACGTACAAGTAGATTATTTAGTTTGAAATCAAAACAATTTTTAGTTTTCACTGTAAACACATATTTTAAATTAAATATTGAACCATGTAATCAATAAGCAAATTAATATTTGATTGCAAATAAATCACCAATTCCAGCAACATTTATCGAATACTATTTCGCAACGACTGAGTAGCATTACATGTAGATATTTTATTATATCATTCGATCGATGTGTATACTGTATGTATGTTATAAAAATTAATTTGGGTATTCTTATGGGAAGTAAATTGTTCTAGAAACGATATTTGATTAAAATCGATGTACGTTTTTTCAGAACTCTCACGAGAATAGCATCTGCTAATTTGAGGCAACACCAGCATATTCCGTTTGAAAATATAATACAAGACTTCATCCTTAACCTTGGAGTGGGTGTTAATTGGGGTACCACCGGTAATATGCAGCTGTTTTTAGGCAATCCCGGCGATTATGCATGGGGCAGGGAAGGATTAGATGCTATCGTAACACAATTATTGAATCAAATGGAAAGTACAGGTGAGAAATTGTTATTGTTTATTAGCGCATTTGGGTATGTTTGTATCAGGATATTGGCTTTATTATCAATCCTTTTTATCTATTTAATTTTGTAGTAAACAATTGTGAATTTTTAATACAATTAACAATAGTGTGATTGCGTAAGAAAAAAATGTGTGTGTAGATTATTTTTAAGTAATTTTATTTTTTTAATTTAGTTTGATATATTATCTTTTCTTTAAATTGATAATTTTATTTATTCAAGGACCACCTCCTGTATCGAAAGAGATAATAGACGCCCTTCCTGTGGTCGAAGTGACCGATGAACAAGTTTCAGCGAAATTGCAGTGTTCTGTATGCTGGGAAGATTTTCAATCGAGAGAGAACGTTCGCCAGTTGCCATGTTTGCACATCTATCACGAACCGTGCATACGCCCTTGGCTAGAACTACACGGAACTTGTCCTATTTGTAGACAGAATTTAGGCAGTAATGAACAAAGGAATAGTGACAATAATCAAGATTCAAGTGGAAATACTGATAATGCAGGTACGATTGTAAGATACGCACTTCGATGGTGGAAGAAATAATCTTGTTACTATATTCACACATTAGTCCATATTCATAAAAATGAAGCGTTTACTTTGAAGTAAAAGGACAAAACAAAGAGTAAGAGAAAAAGGTTTTAAATCTTTGGTTTTAAAGCAATAGCAGGGTACTCGAAGCAAAACCTCTCTTCCTTCACTTCTTTTTATGCATATGCCTTAAAGCAATTCCTTCATTTTTTGGTCTTGGTATAGTGTCAAGTTTATTTAATTGTACTGGTACTTACGGGTCAAAGTAGCATAGTTCTTGTGATTAAAAGGTCATTTTTAATATGTAATGATATTGCTACGATCCTAAATACAAGAGCAATGCAACTTTGGACTATAGTAAGTTTGCACTAGCTTTACGTTTAAAAAAAATCTATAGAAATGGGCAAATTCTGCTCGATTAAGTTGCATCTTTTTTTCCTAATTTCAGAGATATATTAGAAAGTTATGTTTCCTCGCTTCCTCAAAGTACTGTTGTTTGCATTTGCAAATCAATAAGGTAAAGTGACTTTTCCCCTGTTGTCTTATTTGTAATTAATTATTTGATTAACTTTTTATGTAAATGTCTCAGGTGTGCTTAAGAAAAACGTTTGATATTGTGTTGACATACAGATTTTTATAAATTTCATTTAACTAATATGATAGGTATAATTAGCCTTGTAATTTAGTATCTATAGAAATGAATTTATTATTTATAAGCATTGATAAGAATATCGAGTAATTGCAACTTACCTTTATTTATAGATCAGATTGTATGATGATCAGGTGGACCTATCGCTCACCCTGAATTCTCGTTCCTTTTCTAGTACATCCCTCCACTCATATAGATAGTAAAGGAGCGAGATTTTGGTGTGAGCTATAGGTCCGTCGACCATTATACTTATTCGTGAGAATATTATTAATAATTTAATGTAAAATATTTCTTTGTTTTCAGTGGACATCCCGTATAACATCCTGCGAAGCCTCTTCAATTCGCAATCTAGTAGTTCTTCAAATAGTTCCAGTTCAGGCTCATTCGAAAACTCCGGCATGAGGACGAGGTCGAGATCACAGAGTGACTCAACGATGTAATTTCTACGTTTTAGAATTACTCTCATAATAATAATAAATTTATTCAAAAAAAGATTAACTGCGTTATTTTGGTATTATAATGATTATAATATACGAAGGAAATTCAATTTAGAAGTGCCAGCCTAGCTGATTATTGCTCGCTCAGGTTGTGAATATTTTTGATTATCTTATAGTGCATACAAACTTGTAAACGACTGATTTATATGAAGCATTTAATTTAAAAAAAGTTATAATTTCGATGCATCTTATTTATTTAGTGACATTAACAAGGTCGAGTTAATTTTTATTTACATTAAAGAATCTGAAATTCGAGCATTTATTACGGGCTGCCATTTGTTGTAAAAAAATGTGTCAAATTCCAGAATAACGCAGATCTAAAAAAATGTGAAAACTACTCTTAATATAGGTAAACGCTTGCTTTAAAATTATGTATAATATAAAAGTACTATTTAATTACATCTATTCCTTATGGCACTTTTACCGAGGATGGCGTATTCGTAAAGGAGTAGATTGAAACGTTTTTCTACTTTATAATGTTGGTAAAAAGTTAGAAGGCATTTGATCATTTGCTGAAGTGTTAATTAGATTAATATTTCGAGGATTTCTTGCAGTATTTTTGATTTAGAAATCGTTTTTGAGGTTTTTCGCGAATCACGTTTGAATTTTTGCTTAATTTACTCTTTTTTTATCAAAAATTTATTGTTTGGATATATATCTTGAAATCGTAGTTTTGATAAGCGATTACCTGTTTGTCCAATTAAAACACAATCGGATTCGATTTTAACATGATGATAATAACACGACACCTTATAAAGACTAATATATCTGTTAATAATCTATACCTACTTTAATATCATAAGATGTAGATGCTTATAATTCCAATTATTGTTCGCAACATCGATATTACGATAGAATATGATTATAATAGCTTTATCAACTGTGAAAAAATCATGTCATTCTCGACCGTGCCGTAATAATTACTGCTTTGTATTTGCGTTTTTATTTACACAAAAATTGTGATAGCAAATAATTTGTTTTCGAGTTTATTCTATTTAAAAAAATCACCCGAAAGTGCATCACAAAACGGCGAGAATATGGTGAAAATTCAAGAATTGATAGTCTAACGAACACCTCTATATGTATGAGTAATATTGTTAAATGACTGAACTATTATTCTGGAATGATTGTAACTGACTGCATCAGCCAGTTTGATGATACAATTACCGGCTTGATATTTACTGGCGCCATTCAAAATCGAATGATTCAGTTTAATTCCGTCTTTTTGCGATGCGCTTTTCAAAAATTTCAACTTGAGTTTATGTCGGACAATAGTTATTTAACTTATTCGTTTCTTGTAAATTAATTCATTGTATAGACTGGATGGATAAACGCTATGTTAATTTGATTATTATCGTTTTAATGTGTTTTTCGAGACAAATTTTCACGTTTATTTTAAGATTAAAACTAATATAATAGGAATACTTAATACCTCTGAAGCTTCCGGATTAAGTTTTTCATTTAAGTTATTTTACAATGTTAGCTTACATGTATTTAGAAGGGGGTGTCCAACCCCCGAAGCATTTTTCTAATTCTTCGGCCACTGCGAGACAGATCCTGTCTTGGTACGGTCCTGCGATGACCTGTAAAAGACAGTTCTAAATGATTCTGGAGCGTTCTAAATGGCTCTAAATGGTTCTGGAACGTTCTAAATGGTTTTAGGCAGTTATTAATGATTCTGGTGCGCACTAAATTGCTCTAAACAGTTCTGAATTATTCTAGAGCGTTCTAAATGTTTGTGGAGCGTTATACTTTGTTCTAAATAGTTTTAAATGATTCTGGAGCATTCTAAATGGTTCCAGACAATTCTAATTGGTGTGCTAGGAAACTATTGTTGGACAAATTTTTGTTCATTAACCAAAAATACATCACTCCCGTTATCCCAAGTTCTTTGCACAAAACCTTGTAAACTAGTTTAATTAATTTTGTAACTTAAGTTTTTTTACCTGAATACCGAACGGCATTTTCTTTTTATTCAATCCGCAGGGTACGGTAGTGGCAGGTAACCCGCAACTATTTGCAAACACGGTATAAGCGATATCCAGCGAACTAAATAAATATTCCTCGTGCTTTTTCGCCGACGAAAACGACGTGGGAATCAGTAGGATCCTGTTGTTGCCGAAAAATTTCTGCGAGCAACGACAGTTTAGTTAAAACAAGGGCGGTTTGTCGAGCAATCGCTTACCCAAATTTTCTCACGAACGGCGATCAGCTCGTTAGGCTTGTAGTCGAGCAGCAGCGCCAGAACTCTGGTCTGGAACAAGGTGCAAGCGAACGGTGTGGAGAAATCCGACGAGCCGAAGAGGCCTTTAATGAACTCCCACAATGGAGCTGGATGGTTCTGAAATTTTAAGTGTCTGTCTAGGATATATCTACTTGATTATTTCGTCCACTTACTAAGGCTTCTTCGCCCTTTTCACTGGCAATTATGGTGTAACTTGCGATGTTTGTTACTTCAGTGAGGCCTTCGATTTTGTCGTTTACTATTTTCGAGCCGAATTTCTTTTGCAAATACATCGCTGCTTTTTGTAAAGCCGCTTTAATTTCTGGATCGGTTTCGGGATACGATGAATGGTTCATGTCTTCCATAATGGCAATTTCAATATCATTTAAATCTACCTAAATAACGACAAAAAAATGAACAGTATTGTCCAATTAAGTGTAGCTAGTTACCTGCTGATTTAACTTTAGCTTTGACACGTGTTGAGGTTCAACCAAAGCGTTCATAACCAACTTTAAATCTTTAGCATACCTCACTAGGGGCCCGATAGCGCTGAAATACTTTGTTTCTTCTGCGGTTGCAGGAAAATGTCCATCGCTACTTGCAACTCCTAAAAAGGACCAGTGGAATGTATTTTCATTACAGTGTAAATTAGTAATTTAACCTCCTGTAGCTTTGTGTCCAAATACACCGCACAATCCCGCAGGAATGCGAACGGAACCTCCTAAATCGGATCCAATGCCTACGATTGATGCTCCAGAACCGACCAATGCGCCCTGAAATTTTGTCATTTTAAAACTAAATTATTTAGCGAATTTCATGGTGAATTAATAAAATTTATGCAGGAATGAGGTACTTTCAGATACCACAACTCTAGAAGTACTCCAAAGATTCCCACGTCCAGGGATGGATCAGGAAAGAGAGAAAAAGATATGTATATTATTAAAATCGATTACAATGTTGATTACCTCTCCACTAGAAGAACCTCCTGTAGTACAAGTAGTATCGTATGGATTATTCGTCTTGCCTCGAGTTTTGTTTTCGCTCACGGTGGAGAAGCAAAATTCCGGCGTTGTGGAGACGAGTAAAGGGATGGCTCCTTTGGACCTTAATCTAGCCACGGCTGCTCCATCTTCACTAGCCTTCGTTCCCGATAAGGCGAGGTTGCCCACGGATAATTCCATGCCTAAACCACCCTGATATTTTATACCATTAAGAATACTACTACGGAGCGTTTACCCTTTACACTGCAGCTTTCCTTTACTGTTATGGGTATCCCAAGGAGTGGTTTCGTTTCTGCTAATTGCTCGCTAGTCATCTTAGTTGTGGACAAGAAATCATCGATTTCTTGGGCTTCTTTCAAGGCGTCGTAGAACCTTTCTTCGGTAATAGCGTTCAAAAATGGATTTACTTCGCTTATTCTGGCTATGTACGCTTTACATATTTGGAGAGTAGAAATCTGCAAGTGGCAATAACAGCAAGCAAGTTTAGCAATCCATAAAAAGCTTGAAATTAGATATACGAGTACCTCTCTTTTTCTAATTTTTTCTGCTAAATCAGTCGCGCTAATTTTGATAATATCATTCGCTATCGGTGGTAATACTTGTTTCTTTCCTTTCGCCGCGAATCGGATGACAGGACCAAGCAATTTCGATGAAATTTTTACCACAAATAGCATTATATAAAATACAGTTTCCATGTGATAACGTGACAGGATCATTTTGGAGGCCTTATTTTTATCCAGCACTCACTCAACTTTATGTACTCGGAACCACCGTTCGACTGCGCCCAGGCCTTCGCCAATTTTTTGTTATTAATGCGAAAGTATCAGCAATTAATTCACTTTTACAAATTATCTGTTGTATGATACTCGTTGTGGGAATTGTTAACCGCAAGGTCGCCAAAATTTGTCTGAAAAAGTTATAAATAAGATTATAGGCAATAAAAAATAATTTTGGAAGAAGAGGTGGGGACCGCAATATATTTATTTCAGAATTTAAGTGATATATTTTTATCACTCATCTTAAGGACCAATTAAAACTTGGTATGGAGGTTTTGTATATGAAAATTCCTCCTATTTTTCCTTCTTGCATCTTTTGCAGGTACTTAAGAAACAATTTGCATAGAATGCGCTTTTTTAACTAAAATGTGCAAATTTTTAAGTAGATAAATTTAACCTATATTAAATAATAATGCAAATGAATATCTCATATCATGTTTAACTATACCAGGAACATGCAATAACAATTAGAAGCAATTTTGAGTAGTTAATTTAATCGGCCTACGGGTCGGTGACCATGATCTTTTGTTCCCTTTTTTATAAACGTGGGGAATTCTGCTATTATTTAAATGTATTCAAGTATAATACAATGCTAGATAGAGACAACTAGTAGCTACCTATTAATAAATTGTAGGTAATTGTTGTAAATATTTTGATAATGTATCCTAATTATTTCCTTTACAATATTTGCAATTCTAACAAATCATGCTTTAGGTATTATTAGGTAAAATCCTTAAATATTTAAATCCTGAATATAAAAGTAATGCAAATAAGCAAATAATAGGTATTTATACTAGGCATACTAGGTAGGTACTTACCAATTTATATCATGGGCGTTGAAGTTGATCGCATTGTAACTACTTATTACCCACGCAATTTAGTATATAGCTATTTGAATTTTTTTTACGTCGGATTTAAAAATAATTGATGACAATGTTCCTTCAATTAAATTATACAGAGGGTACGTATGCTATTCTGTATGCCAAGTTTTCACTGTTTTCATGAAATAGCTCGCGGAATATCGGAAACAACCTTATAGTATTTTATAAAAATCGTTTTATTTACATAAAAATAATTGTATTTGTTTTTTATAAGTCATTATATTTAACATATTTTGGTGCTCATAAAATCCATTTATTAATAATAAAATATTTAATTCGGAGAATATGAGTACCTACCTATATGAAGGTTAAATTGTAGGATTAGGATTGGATGAACATTCGTTCACTTGAAGTACTCTCTTCTTTTATATTTTCAATTTATTGTTAATCTTTTTATAGTTTGCCTATCCTTTTTTGAGTAATTATAATATTATAATTATTTTAGATGTGTTTTGCTTTGTAGTAATATGTAATTTTATTTTCGCATATTAATTTGCATTCTTTTACACACTATTTTTCCGTATTCTATAAATCTTTATTTTTATTCTTTACGTTGATATTAAGATATCGAAACCAACAATTAAAAATTCATTGTTTATTAAATTTCTGATGTAAACATAAAAATACTGAAAACAATATTATTGTAACATATAACGTTAAGAATATTAAAAATAACCAAGATCACAGATATCCATGCGTAAAAATAGATTCGAATGTAGAAACAAATAAGTTACAATCTAGAGAACAACATCTTAATACATAATAAAAACTCGTAATAAAAAAGTTATTCAGCATATGTACGGATGTGGTACTAAAAAAAATTACGATTTACGAGGTGGTTGCCAACCACCGAATTCCCGTTCGATTTCCGCTGCCACTGCCAGCGTCAGCCTATCACAATAAGGAGCCGCAACAACCTTAAAAAAAAACAAAACCAATAAGAAATTTATCCTTCTAAACTAGCACATAAGAACCAGCCGAGACCACAAATACTTACTTGTATTCCTACAGGTAGTCCAGTTTTAGTGAACCTAACAGGGCAATTAGTAACAGGCAGACCCAACGAATTGAAAATGGACAAATACGACGAATCGAACACCTTTCGATAGATATCGCCGTGATAATGCGCCTCCGCCGTGAACGACGGTATCAAGAACACTCCGTCTTTGCCCAGCAGCTTGACGAAATCCGATTTCAGCTCCTCCAGCTTCTTGACGCAGTACTCCGTGGTCGATCTGGGCAGGTGCGTGGAAAGCTTCCTCAACACTCCGTACAGAATCGCCGTTAGCACGGATTTCGATCGGAACGTCATGTATCTGAAGAGCTCGGTTATGGATCCCTCGCCTCTGCCTTTGAAGAGGTTGTCCACGTCGTCTATGTCTAATAGAGACACTGTGGATAACTCTGGAGCGTGTTTCATCAGAGGTAGGTCCACCTGCAAATAGACAAGTTTCTTAATTATTATTTATCAAGGAAGAAGACAGTTGGACTAAGGAAGGATACATTAATACACCAAATCAAAAACCTAAAGGTAGCAGTATTAAAGACAGATGAACAGGATAGTAAAGAACAAATTAATTATCTAGTTTTAGGGGTGGTGGGTACAAACCTTTTCGGTACTAATTTGGCAAATTTGATCGAAATGCTCGATGACGGAATACAAGGCGCCCAAACATTCCTCGTTCACAGTCCCAGTAAGAGACGATTGGATATCTTCCATATAGAACACTCTAAGTTCTTTAACGTCCACCTAAATAACAAATTTCGTTAGCTGAGAGTACGTTATTAGGTAAATAAATTCAAACAACCTACCGGTTCGAATAAACGCAGTTTACTTCTGAAATTGGGCTCGCATATAACCTGCAGCAGAAGCCTCAAATCGGACGCGTACCTGGCCATGGGGCCCAGAGTAAAAGCGGCTTTCCAGACGTCCTCGTGCTTGCAACTAGGGTAATGCCCGACGCTGGACACTGTCCCCGGTGTTGGCTTGTGGCCCCAAATGCCGCAGAAATGCGCGGGGAGTCTCAAAGAACCCGCAACGTCCGAACCAATGCCGATCAAAGAACCAGCGGTGGCCAAAAGACTAGCCTGAAAACAACAAACATTTTGAAGATAGCAACTTAAAAATTATGTAAATGGTGAAATTCGTACCTCACCTCCTGACGAACCTCCGCACGTTCTAGACGTGTCGTGAGGATTTTTGGTCGTTCCTACTAGTTTGTTCGTTGATTCCCAGTTCAAACACAACTCGGGTATGTTGGAAGTGACCAGGGGAATAGCACCGGCTTCTCTCGCGTATCTCACGGTGACGGCGTCTTGCTCTGCAATTACATTCGCCCTGGTTACCATTCCAGAGGTGCTCTTCATCTTGGCCACTTCTATACTTCCTTTAACGGAAATAGGAACACCTAAAACGTTATTAAAAAGTTTAATTGTAAGTATTATGAATTTTAAAAATTGGTACGTACCTAACAAAGGTTGTTTTTCTTTAATTTCTTGTATGTTAGTACTACTGTTCGATAATAACTGATCTACTTTCCTGGCATCTTCTAAAGCCTCTTGGAATCTGTTCTCTATGACAGCATTTATGACGGGGTTGACTTCTTGGATTCGAGTTATGTAGGCTTTCACGACGCTTTCACAGGATACCTAAAGTTTCGAGAAATTCATATCACAATTATTTTTTTTTTAATTTTAATTGATTATTTAGAAGCAAACGAATTTGAAAGGTTAATTGGATAATATAAAATTTATTGCTTGTTGGTTTACCTTTCGGTTTCTGATTTGTTCGGCTAGCTCGGTGGCGGAGAGGAGGAGAATTTCGTTTTTAATGGTCGGACATGATCTTGATTTTCTAAAAACTCTTCTAATTACCACCGGTAGATAGAGAACGTTGACCGATTTTATGGCCATCCAGAATAACACTCTTAAGGCTATAATTCCGGGTGGCATCGTCTGCAAAATAAATAAACTTTTTTTCAATCCTGTTTTATCGTTTTACGAAATTAACATATTTCGTTGTAAAAAACCAAATAATCGTCGCCACGTCGTTTATTTAAATTTCACAATAGCTTTAAATAATAATTGTGTTTGGAAAAACAATTAACTCGTGTTCTCTTATTACTGATCAAATGATTATTGTTTGACTGTGCCATGATATGTACCTATCATAAAAATTAACCGCAATTAATTCAAATTTCCATCGATTTGGCGAGAAATCTCGTAAGTATGTATTAATTGGTATATCAATTAATTGCAAATATTTAAAAGAATTGCGTCTTCGGAATATGAACGTGTGTGTAAAAATTTTACAGTACGTCTCTGAGATCGATGCAACTGTGATGTATTTATTTGCATCACAGGACGTTAAAATTACTATGATTAATTCATTTTGGTGTTTACAATTTGGACTTTGACAATAATATAAGTAAACGCAATTCTGACGATTCCTTTGTTATCTTTAATGATATTTTAACGATAGAAAAATTATATAGTTAGAGGTGTTGCATTTTGTAAATACTACATTTTATGGTAAAAGGTGAAAAATTAAGCAATTTAATAATCAAAGCAAAATTATAGTAGTCAAAATCAAGCGATTTGTATACAATTTTGATACTTAGAATAAAGTCCAGTATATTTAATTTTTATAGAGTTAATACAGAGTGATTCTTCATTAAGTACACTATCATTCTTTACAAGAAGCTTTTAGCATTAATATGTAAAAAATTACTACACCTTGTATTATGCATATAATTTTATAGTCCTCATTCATGTATTATTTAATTCCACTGTAGGTACCTATATTGTGCGAGAAACAAATTAATGGTTTATGCTCTTTAAACTTTTTAGTAATTATTGCCACTTTGTAATCCATATAAGCGTAAATATTAAAAGAGAATTTAATGCTCAATTATAAAATTTACACCTCATACTGGTTTTTTCCCGAATGAATATAGGAAAAATATCATAAATGTGTAGTAGTACTTCAAATACTCACTAAAATGCTATTAAAATTGAGCAAAACCTGCATGGATAGGTACTAAAAAGTTAAACTGATGTCGTTAATAAACCCGTCAGTAATTAATTATCTTCGTCGAATGTTTTATGTTTATTACATAATGATGCATGGGTAAAAAAATTTAAGAAAACTTTGACGTCAATCGTTTTTTGAGGTAATTATGATGGTGCTTTGTTTGTTACAGCTAATAATAATCAATAGTTGACGCTTTTAAACTTGGCTTGATAAATAATATTCAAATTATTGCGCCGAATAAAATTTTAACCACAGTCATTAATCGAACTACACACATGAAAAAATACTTGTTTTAAATAAATTGATTACTTTCAGGAGATATTTGTTTATTTTATAATTATTAATAATGAAACCACAACAGTTGTAATACAAAGTATTATTTTTACAATAATTGTTATGTGTTTGAACCGGTGTTAAAATAAAACAGGAAGAGAGCAACTTGCCTACACTTTTATAGAAAACAAGTTCTTTGAACCCTATAACCAATACGTGAGAAGATCAATAACCACATCCAACTGCATACCTATTACCTATTACAATAGGATTTTACAAATTAATTTTCCTACATTTTACTATCAAGGTCGAGTTAATAATTTATTATATCTATTTTATTGTAAATTAAAGAGCAATATTAGTGCAGGTAATGATTTCCAGCGACAGTAGAAAATGCGAAATTTAGCGCATCCTTCAAGCGTGATAGGGAAAATGTGTTTACACTCACTTATTTAATTAGTTTTTAATTAAATTTATATTTTCTAGGTCATTAGCTGAATGTAAACACTTTAATTTAATGACCAATTAGGGCCTTATTGAGGGTAGAAGGTAAGTAGTTCATTGTAACATACGACTGAATGTATTGTATTCACATTTTGATCGCTAATAAAAAAGGTTCAATTCTTATTCACTTAGGTTCTTTCTGTCCCACTTTCATGCTTGCTTAAAGTACTTATTTACTAATTACCCACTTCACTTCAATATTAAATATTTAACCCGTTCTCTACATTAAATTACGCTTTTCAGTTATTACTGAAACAGTTATTAATGAATCCTTCTTAAACGTAGAAAGTTCTAATTCATCATTACCATTTTTTGCAAGCACTTTTTATGTTTCCTTCATTTCATAAAATTATTCGAATATCCTCAGAAGTTTTCTAAAATCATTGAGGAGTAAAGAATCGTGTCATATAAGTAGTTGAAATACATATTAATTTCGAGATTACTGCAATATTTACCATTTATAATTTTGTTCAATCCATTAACTTTACTTTATTAGGTAGCTACGAAGACGTTGGCTAATTCTTCTATTTACCAATATTCACACAATATATTAGAAAGTACATCCTTAATACAGTTAGTATAAGCGTTAATAAATAGTAAGTATAGGTAACAGGTTAAATAGCTTATTATCAAATACCTGTTATAATCGACTGATTGTATCGGACAAAATATCAGTGATCGATTGTATTGAAAACTGCTGTGATCATCGCGAATGCACGCTCGGTAATCATAATACGGCTTACAGGATTTTTACGCAACGCTCTGACATCTGTGCAACTTTCTCTCTTTAGATAAGCATCCTGCAAAACGCAAACTTGGTCGTACCGACAATTCGAAAATTCCAAGAATTCAGTACGACACCGTTCGAAATGCCTTTCCCAAAATATTTGCAGGAATCTAATTCGCCATTTCGTAATGGCAAAATTCCCCGCGGCGGTAAATTGTTGTATCGTAATTGTTTATTTAATCCACTTTACTGTTAATGCGTAGGAAATTATTTCTTACTTAATTATTTCATGCGAAAGGTTTGGGCAATTTTTGAAAAAGTGTAATAGGTTTATTATTTAATGGTTCGTTTTCGTAAGTTATAATTTATTGGTACATTTTCCTTGAAGTGATATGTTGTCTGTATTAAAAAATTAATTATAAATTGATTACTGGGTAACACATTATAATAAATTGAGCAGACGATCTGTTGTTATTTATACAGGCACAAGGTAATTGTATTTAAATGACACTTCTTTCGACCGTCCTTTATTTTGTAGTAAATCTATTAGTGGATTGTACGACGTAATTAAATTTTCCATTGCTGCTTCCTCATCATTACCTAAATTGTTAACATTTCGACTATTAAAAATTGATTTTCCTACTAGTAGACTATATATCTTAAATCGTAAATTATAAACAACGTATATTGTTGATAATATTTGGAACCCCTTATTTACATAGATCATTCAAATCAATGAAGCATCTTTCCTGTCATACCTGTTATTTGGTTTCAAATGCTTGTTTGTTCCAATTTTTGTTTATTAGCCAGTATAGGTTATAAATGAAAATTTTATACGAACATTTTTATTCATTTAAGTGTTTTTTCTTACAGATAATAAAATAACAAAGGTCCGAAGGTTATATTTGTATATTATTATCGGCTTCTTCCAAAGGATTCTTAGTTTCAATCAAAGTAAATCAAGGATATTTTCTGAGCTATCAAATAAACACCTGTTGTTCTGTTTTATTCAATTATTACATACCAAATTGGCATTTGTATTGTATATTTGAAAAAATGTAGACATAAACAACCTTTGAAAATTCTGGCGTATTCTATTGATATTAGTTTTTTGAAATGTGTAGTTTGAACTAAATTTTAAAATCGCATTAATTCATTGTTATCAACAAACAAGAAGCACTCTGCCCTCTATAACAATTAGTTATCGAAACAACTTCAATAAAACTTATGATTATTTCCAACAAAGTTAAATACGTTGACATTTTTAAATGGTTTGTGTATGTAATTGATCAAAAACATGAGTTTCTTTTGTCGTGGAAACTACAAAAGTCTAATGTTTATCGAATAAGTAGACCTCTTTCTAAAACTGTTTCGTGTCTTCGAAACTTACCAAAGTGTAACCGAGGAGCCGAGAGAAAACGGGCACAAATTATAGTGAAAATAATCACTTGACCACCGAACAGATTTCACTTGTAGAAACGTTGTTTCATGTTCGCGTTTGAAAAAAAAAAACAAGTTTCAACTTGGACTCGACGTTTCCACACGAACTGATCGGACGACTTTATTGTCGAATGTATTTTGCGAAACTGGCTTGCCGAGTTGGTTGTTGGTCAAGCGACGATTTTCACTTTTTGGTAGGAGACCTTGACTTTGGTTTGGCCACTTCTGCGGATGGTGATGGCGATGAATGAATTTTTTCGGGCAAAATGACGGCCGGTTTTAATGGGCATGTTATTTATTCAGTGGTCCAGTTCCACTCGACCCCAGAGGTGTATATGACGCAGTCGAGTCCGATAAACTGATAAAAAATTTGACTGGAAATATAATTTATGGAAAGTACGCATTTTTATGTAACGGCAGGTGGACATAATTTATAACTCCGTCTTTTTCAGATTAAAAAAACTTTTCTTACGATAATTAATTACTATTCGACAACGATCGCGTCATTTAGGAACTTTTTCATTTTAAACTTATTGTAATAGAGTTGTGTACATTAAAATAAGTTGTAAAATGATTAAAATACCTGTTCTTTTGGATGATTATGTAGGTATTTAAGTGAATATTGTTTTAATCGATTTTAATTGGATTTATATCAAACTTTTCCACTAGACCACTTACTACTGAATTGCATAAAAAATCATTTAAAATGAACAATTTAAGGAATTGAAGTTTTATTATTTTTATTTGACATCATCTTCATGTTTATTATATTTCATATTATTCATATTTGACTCGTAAAATCCCTAAATAACTTATTATTTCAGTAAAAGGGCGATTTAAATAACACAATTTTACATACATAAATAATTCTATTAACAAAAATTTTTAAGTATTTAATATTGTGCTTTTCATTAATAATGTGACATTAATACGAGTAGTAGGTACAGTTGCAAAATGTATGTCTGAAAGTAATAGTTTAGTTTTTTACTTAAATATTGATATCCTGTATTTCTATCTATGCACTATTATTTCATTCAACCTTTAATTTCAAATCTAAACGGAAAAAACGACAATTTTCTTTTAATAAAATCTTATCCAATTTCAAATATCGTTTCGAATAGATGATTTCCGGTGAAATATACAGGGCGTTCCATATGACACGCTGTTCCACAGTGTTAATATTTATGGGGATGATTGTTAGATCCATTTTAAGAAAAAAACTTGATATTAACCTATGTCCTAAACCTAAAATTTATTATTTTTTAATTTTAGCACAGCGGCTAATGTAGCGACAGCGTACAAATGAATGCATTTATTTTTATTAATGCGAAACGATGAGTTGTACGGAAAAAAGTCAAGAAATCAAATTTATTCTAAATTGAGTGAGGGCTCGGAAAATAATTTTTATTTCAATATTAGGCAGTGGCGTACCATTTTTTTCTCTAAAAATATTCAATACAGAAGCCGTACGGACGCCACTGCTGAAAATAATATAATTATTTGTACATCAGAAAATATATCTTGATTCATAAAAGACGTGTGCCATATTTCATGAAGATATCTAAAATTGTATCACAGTCATTACAGAAAATTGTTTTTTTTTTCTTAAAACTTTTACACCCTGTATCTCAAAAGTTAAGACATTTAGGACATTCGTTCATATGAAGGTTTTTCCTTAAAATGGGTCCAGGAATCACCTTCTTAAATATTACCATGTCATTTTGAAACATCTTGTTGTTTATGATGGAGATACTCACTTGTCCTACTTGAATAAAAAACGCATTTTTAATTATTACCTATTACATATACATATTAATAAAATATTTTAATAACTTTAGTAATGGCTGTAATTGATAGAACCAATGTTGTTAGTGATAGAACGAATGGACTTCTACCATTTTTTTTGTAAAAATCATAAAATTTAAAATTACTGTTAAATGTGTATGTAATTTTTATGTTATTTTCCACTGAAAGAAAATTAATATGCTTATTAAGATAAAAAATTGGTGACATATTATTATTTCAGATATTAAATAATGTTCCTTACTAATTAATATACCGGGTGGAAACATCAAATGGAATAAATTTATTATTTCGGTACTGTACATATTTATAGAAAATCCCGAAACACGTCAAATTTTAATTATAAATTGACATTCTTCGACGTCAAAATGTGAGCCCTATTTTCAACACCCTTCGAAGGACAGTTACAACCCCTATTTATTTAAATTTAAAATTTTTAAATTTATAAAATTTTACGTGTTTCGGGATTTTCTATAAATATATCGTTTGCTCCATTTCAGATTGCAACATGGTCATTTCTGTGAGTGGAACAAAGAAAGATATTAATCTTATAATATTAATATAAATTAATATTAATTAATTAATATTAATATTTTATTAAAAATAACAGTTGTCAGAGTGAAAAGTTGCAATGACACAAATGTCACTCTTTCCTTTTCCTTTATAAGTGTCTAATGGAAGTTGTCTTTATCGCATCTATAGCCTATATAACCTATGTTGCGATCAAAAATGAAACAACCTGTATACAGTAACCGTAATAATGAATTTATTCCTTTTGCCATTTCTAAACTGTATAATTTGTTCTACCTACAAATTATCTCTTTTTCTATTTCTTTTAACACCAATCAATCTTCAAAAATTTGATATCTACTCTTTTATTTATAGGGAATAAATACTTCAAAAATATTACAACACATTATAACACCATATATCAAGAATGTACGTTCTTTGGAATATTTTTTAAATTAGCCATTAACACGGCAATAACATACATATTTAAAGTAGAATAAATTATTGTTCTTTGGTCTAGACTATTTGCCCATGCGATGTAAAATTTTATGTACACAAACTATTAATTTTAAAAGCTATAGGTATCCGTTACTAATTGTTTACTTTCTATTGACATCGATGACAATTCAATGAAACTGATTGTTAAATATATGCTCAAAGGGTCATGTTTAGACCCTGTTGCTCCTAGATCGAGATTTTAAAAGTAGATGGTATTACTGTCCAAAAATGGTTTTTGATTTATTTCAAATTAACTACACACCTCAAATTGTTCAAGAAAAATTTAGGTATTTTCATGAAAAATCCTTGAATAAAGAAAGATCTCTCGCTTTAAAACTTGTTTAAATTGAATTAATTCAAAATGTCAATAAATTAATAGTTAACTTAGTAATAAACAACGTTACTGTATATGTATACTTATTTTATTTAAACTGGTTTTGAACAAAAGTTAATTAAATTAAATGTAAATATGTAAATAATTAAAGGTAAATCTGATGAGCAATGAATTAAACAGAAGGAACGCCGAATCCAAAATGTTTGTTATAAAATTAGTACTTATCTAAATGTTACGAAAATTAGTTGGCAAAAAAGTAAAAGAGGTAATTCCTTAATAAATTAAATAGACATATCCACAAATTATATATTTACGTATACCTGCGCATTAAAAAACATTTAATATTCTTGTATTTAGTGTAGTACTATATGATTTACTGTTTAAAACAAATATACCTATTAGATAATTAGATATTTCAAAGAAATACCTAATTGTTTCCACTAATTTGGTTAAATTTCATAGATTTGCTTATCGTTTTGGAAAACTATATGTAAATTATAATTTAGATGTTAAATGAAAATTTAAAATATTCAATTTCAATAAATACAGGTGTTGGTTTTTAAATTAGCAAGCCCAACATATTAATAGAATAGTTAAATAAAATAAAGCTGGCAGGTAATTCCCAGTAATTTACCTAAAAATTATGTCAGCCAATTCCTAGTGGAGATTCTTCAATTTTCCAGAAACTAATGACAATAAAATTATTAACTTAAATAAATTATAATAATTTTTGTAAATATATTACTTCCACCAGCCCACTTACTAAACAATTTGCAATTACCTTTACAATCTATAGTCTACCATCATTGTTTAATCGATTAAATTTCTTTTACTGAGAATATAGGAATTCTTACCGCATCTGAATCCGTCATAGAAACCATGGTCAAGGGCACTGGCCTGGATTCCGTGTTCTTTTCCAACTTGCTTTGAGACATTTTCCGCGACAACGAAGTTTCCAGTTAATGCACGTGCAATGTTCAACTGTAAAATTGATAAAATTGATCATTTTTTCTTATCGGAAACGAATTACTTACGAAAAAGTTCGATTCGATGGGTAGGAGAAACGACTGAAGCAGGCGCAAACCACCAGGATTTTTATTCTTACACTGAGTATCCGGAGTACTTTGATACTCGAATGATTCAAATTATTCGTATGCACTGTGTAACGGACAGGAATAAATGATAAATAGTACGTAATAGGACGATAAAATAATGATCCTATCTAATAGTATAAACGGTCATGGGCGGAACTTGAAAGCCTGCTACGTCGTAGGTCTACTGGGTACAATTATTTTATAATACGCTAGGTCAACTGGGCAAAGACTCTTTCCTGTCCCCTTTTTGGGTAGGGTCAACTGGACAAAGAGATTACCTACATTCCTAAGAATACTTATATAGATTTAATAATCAGAATCATTTTAAAAATTTATTTTACCTGTATTCAAATTTGAATTGAAGTTGAAATTCGAGAAAATTTTGATTCGTTGGATATCTTGTATGTACCTACTAAATAATCACATTAATATTTGTCATTTTGAAAAATGACGTACCTACATACAGGTATAGTCCTTTTCAAGATATAGTAGAAAATGACTTTATAAGCTGATGAGTTTACGACTACCCGGTGCTGTTTAGGGTACACGCCGCACTCGCCGGTCGAATCACGCAGAACCGTATTTTAAGTTTGGTACGTTCGCTGCGGCTAAGCGGCGATACAAAATACTCATTAAATAACATTTCTTAAGTTCTTACCTGGAAATGTAAATATTGTTTACTACCCGACCCGACCGAAGTGCTTCAACGTTCCATTGTATTGGTATTAGGAAAGTCATTACTTTATTGCTATAATCCCTAAGCTCTCACGCCTCTTTTCTACTATATCTTGAAAAGGACTATACTTAGGTACAGATAGATGTACATTTTCAAACATATAATTCGGGAAGAAACTCAAAACAAAATTGATCTACAGAGACAGCATAGTAAACTAGTATGGTCAAAGAACCCATCCTAATTTTATAATAAAACGCAATTATAATTGGGAAATACCTGCGCTCTACTAGGGGTAGGTATGCAAAAAGTGGATGTACATTAAAGAGATTATCGAATTGTCGAAACTAGAAAAGCGATTAAGGGGCAGGTAAAAATATTGGAAATTGCCCAGTTGACCTATCATGAGACAGGTCGATCACGATAATTATTATCATGTAATAAAATTTTTGACCAGTTGACCTGCGTCCTGCTGCTATACCTAACTAAATTATTTTCGATTCACAGTCACACTTTTTTCTGCGATTTACTAACTCTTGGTGAAATCAATAAAAGTAAATTAGGTACTAATAGAACTATATCAATTAAAGCAAAGAGATTTGAAATCAACTCCAACTTTTTGAACTTTTGTACTCATTTCGTTTGTTATAGACAAGCTAATATTTAGGTAGGTAAGGTAATTTGCCACTATTTTCTATGACAATGGATATGATTGACATAATTTACATAGGAAAGGTCAATAAAAAGTTTGAAAATGATTAAAATATTGAATCCTTCTGAATAGAGAGTTTTAAAATTAGCATTGTTTTACGATTTTCTACGTAAAATAAATACCTCAAAAACTAATAAAGGTAATGATCGAGCTATAACTACCCTTTATCAGCTAAAAAGGTTATAAAAAATTAGAAAAAAGTGGCCTTAATTAATATAAAAAAACTGTAAATAAGGCTTCTATGTATTTTTGCAATTGCAATTTATTTCATAACTAATTAATACGTACCGATTTAGTCATTAACTCATTAGCGCATAAGTACTATTGCAGTTATAGTACTTATACTTCAAAACTAAAAACAACTAAAACCACTTATAAAACAAGAGAACTCTGGGCGATATCTGGCGTATTGTGCATCGACGATTGGCTTTATTTTTTCTAGAAAATATCGTTTTATCGATTCCTGCTCATGATGTCCACACCGAGAATGAGGTTAATATTAGTATTTCATAAACTTAATTAATAAGTATTTCAGTTCATAAATGTTGTATGAAATATTTTGTGATAGGTGTACGTAAAGCATTTTGTTTTATCCTACGTGCTCTATCATTGTTGGATAATGGTCGATAATTTTGTTTTAAATAGGTAATTAGAGAGTTGTTTAATAAAACACGAATTTATGCAAAAAGTCTACAAAGTCGATTATAAAAAGTATTATCAATTATCATCGAATTGGCACATTTGCACATCATGTATCTCTTGCTTTTTAAGGTAATTTAAAAAATACTATGAAGATCGAAAACTGATGCTGAAATAGGTGGATAATTAAATTTAATTAGCTATTTATAAATTCGATTTAATTTTAATTTAAGTAATTTATAACAAATATGAGTAACTTTATTGGATATAAGATAATTTTTTTATCGACTATTGTTTGATATGGATTTGGTAATGTATAATATGTAAAGAAAATTCAATTTTTGTAATAAATTAAGAACAAATTCTAATTTAATTGAATCGTCCCACACTATACATATTCAATTGAAAATTGAAATTTGCCCGTATACTTTAAGTAGCCACTTAATTAAGTTAGGAAAATTCGTACCAAAAATTATTAATTTATTATGCAAAGTAATACATTTAAACCACAATACTTTGTATAATACAAATTTAAAGTAATGTGTGTTGCCTATATTGAAGAAACTTATTAGTAATCAAAACATTATAGTGAACAATTAAGTTTTTAATAATAATCGTGTATTAAATTTGGATTTTTAAAGATATATGCATTTCTTTTAGTTAGTGTAATACTATTTAAATATACTTTTTAAATATATTTTTGTGATTTAATTACTTTTTATAATAGATTCGGTGTACAATATTTCAAGTCAGGATGGCCGAGCGGTCTAAGGCGCTGCGTTCAGGTCGCAGTCCACTCTGTGGGCGTGGGTTCGAATCCCACTTCTGACAAAATCATTTTTGCTTTTTTTTTTATAGTATTTTTATTTTCCATTCACCATATTTCATAAATCAATCCTATTTTTTAAAAAAGTATTTTGTTTTACCTTGTATAACAACCTGTGTATAGTATTTATTTGAGTTGATGTGCAAATTTCTAAAATTTGTTAACATACACATCAGAATAAGACGTACTTTAAATTGGTAAAAAATTACAAGAGTTAATATAGGGAAACTTAGAGAAACTTGTCTTAAGGAAACTTTTGGGATTTGTTTTTCTAGCGATAATGTCAATACGTTGAAACTTAAGTACTTATTATGTAGTTATTACTTGTACATAAATAAGTTTCACATGACTAGATGGCAAAAAGTTTTCTATCCATTGAATTAAGATTATTTTAAAAGTGTTTATTAAACAGAAAGGTGAGTAAAAAAATCCACTTGAAATTTGATAGATTTACTACAGTTACTACGTACAAAAACAGTAAGTACAAAACTGATCCACCGATCCTTTGAACTTATTTTCTCAGTTAGTTACAACCTTTGAAAACTATACACATGATAAAATCAAGATAAAATTTTATTTAATCCCTTACTTGTAACGAATGTATTTTTGGAGATTTTTTAAGTACCTAGTATTTTTTTCAATTCATAAGTGTTTTTTGGTCGATATAAATACACGTACCACCTCATAAACGTTGCAGTGCTATTTTCGAACTTATCAGCATGGCGCGCATACTTAGTTGTATCGTTATTTCTCTAACTCTAACCGGAGCTTTCGCTCAAAAAGATCCTCATTTCGCCCCAGGAAGAAACACCATCGTTCACTTATTCGAATGGCATTGGGCGGACATTGCCAATGAATGCGAAAATTTCCTCGGTCCCAAAGGATACGCAGGAGTTCAAGTAAGACTCAGTTTATTAACTTTAATAAATTAATACATTACCCAATATAATTCCACTTTTTAACATTACTGTAGGTTTCACCTCCGAGTGAAAACACGATTATTGGCAACAGACCATGGTGGGAAAGGTACCAACCAATCAGTTACAATCTTGTCACGAGATCCGGTGATGAAAATGCATTCGCAGACATGGTAAGGAGATGCAACAACGTTGGCGTGAGGTAAGCATTGCAATTCTCTCTTTTTAACCAAAGACCTAATAAAATATGCTTTGGAAAGAATTTACGTCGACGCTTTGTTCAACGACATGTCCGCTACATCAGGTCAGGGAACTGGAGGAAACTCGGCTGATGTAGGTAGCTTGAACTACCCCGCAGTTCCATACAGCGGCGAAAACTTCCACAGCAAATGCGACGTAAACAACTACCAGGATCCTAACAACATCAGAAACTGCTGGCTAAGTGGTCTTCCTGATTTGGATCAGGTAAAACTTTTGCATAAAAAATTGATGTTGTTGGTATTAATAACATTTTTGTGCATGTATAGAGCCAGGAATATGTACGAGGAAAACTTGTGGACTACATGAATCACTTAGTTAGCTTGGGAGTAGCAGGATTTAGAATTGACGCAGCTAAACATATGTGGCCACAGGATCTCCAGGTAATTTTCAGCAGAGTCAACGACGTTAGTATGGGTGGAAAACCTTTCTTCTACCAAGAAGTAATTGATTTAGGTAAAAAATAAATCTACACGATAAGTAACAAATAACTCATATTTCTACAAATTGCAGGAGGTGAAGGCGTAAAGAAGACTGAATACATTGGTTTCGGTACAGTATTAGAATTTAAATTCGGTAATGAGCTAGGTAACGCCTTCCAAGGGCACAATCCCATCCACTATCTCAAAAACTGGGGCCCACAGTGGGGTTTGCTAGAAGGAACTGACGCTGTAGCCTTCATTGACAATCACGACAATCAACGCCACGGATCTAGCAACATTCTGACTTACAAAAACCCAAAACCCTACAAAATGGCAATCGCTTTTATGTTGGCCCATCCTTACGGAACTACTCGTGTCATGTCTAGTTACTCTTTCGATGACGCTGATGCCGGTCCACCACCAAACCAACCCTCTTTCAACGCCGATAATTCCTGCAACAACGGATGGGTGTGTGAACACAGGTGGAGACAAGTCTACAACATGGTAGGATTTAGGAACGTTGTAGCAGGAACCGACGTAACTAGCTGGTGGGACAACGGGGACAATCAAATTGCATTCAGCAGAGGTGACAAAGGTTTCGTTGCTTTTACCGTAAGCGGTGACATCAACCAAAACATACCCACCACCTTGCCAGATGGTAGTTACTGCGATATCATCTCCGGTGACAAGGAAAATGGATCATGTTCTGGTAAAACCATTACAGTCAGCGGCGGACAGGCTAATGTCAACTTGTCTAATGGAGAAGACGATGGCGTCGTAGCCATTCACGTTAATTCAAAATTGTAAATTAATTTGTATTTTATAGAATAAACTATTTTTTTAAAAAAATCCACTGAGTTATGTTTATTTATTAATTCAATTTGTTGCTAAGTTTCCGCAGTAGATGTCCGGTAGTAAATCGATTTCAGAAGATATTATTTATGCAAACAAAGCAGTACTGGGAATTATACAATAACTTGTGAGCGTGAAAGCAAAGTTTGGAGGAATTGTCCATAATCCGGTGGAGAAACAGTAACGAAGTGGCGTGACGGCAATCTGGGCTATCCTTTGAGGATAAAACCTTCCACGAAAATTGCTGCAAGGTCTGGAAAGGGATAATGGAATCGTAGTGAAGAGCACTGACGTTTTTACTTCTCTCTCTTTTCGACACCAGCGTATCTTAAGAAGAATTCGTAGAATAATTTAACTAACAAACAATGGTTTTTAATAATTTTAAAGTGGTACTTATCTAAATCGGTACCACAAGTGTCGAATTAAATTTTGGCACGTACCTATCTACAAAATAAGATAACTTTTGTTGTTTATAAAAGCAAATTTGATCGGTATCTCGGAAGTGACAATCAAAAAATACCTTAGATACATATAGCAGTTTTGCAATTGTTTATTAAGTAGGAGCCTAAGATATAATTCATTTGCAACATTATCTAAACTGCAGATCATTGATAAATGCAAATTAGATATAAAAATATGTATTTTGAATCATTATTAAAAAAAACTTTTATTGTAATGCTCGTATATACTTTCGTACAAAAAGGTAAATAGGAAAATTTGATTACTATAAAGTTGGCTCAGTCACGCCTATGTTTTATTCCTATCTTTGTCCTACGATTCTCCAACACCAACGTTGATAAAAAATTCAACTGTTCACTTGGATAAGTACACAGCGAGATTTTTTTGCAGGATATTTCATCAGACTTTACTTGCCTGTCTACTTATATGTTGAAATTTTTTCAATATCGAGTTTAAAAAAATCGTAGATCCATTTAAAACAAGTTATATAAAAAATGTTAGTCAAATTCAGGGAGAGTGTGAAGCAACAGTAAGAATTGAAAAAATATTCCTTGGAGTCAAGTTGTGTTTACAGTATTATATCTGCTAAAATTTAACTACCTACTTTTCTTTAAATTTTACCAGGGATTAAGTAGTAATTGTACCTATTATGAATTTACATCACAGGAAGTCATTTTAATATTGACCATTGTTAGAATGAATAAATATTTTCTATGATGATATTAAGTAGATTAGCTACTAATGGGTTTGGGAAAGGATTATGATTATCTATTAGTCGAATTATTATTTTTACCTAAATTTAGCTTTGGAATTTTTCACCGGTTTGAAGTTTGCTTGTGAGTAAATATGAGTATTCAAAAGTAAAAATACTCGATTATAGTACTGGCTAGTATTGGCTATAGTAGCCAATTAAAGTCCTTAAATAATGAAATAATTCCTTTCTTTAAGAGATATAGAAAATATTTTTTTTCCAAAAGATTTAGCCATTGCCATACAAAAGACTTGTTTTAAAATTGATTCTTATTATACATAGTGGTTTATTAAACAATTTTATATTTTTAACCTTACGGGATATACTATGTACCTAAATAATTGCAATTTTATTAATATAATTTGACAGTTTTTAAATCTTCCTGATAAGATGAACCATTTCAATAACAACGGAAAATGCTCAAGTATTTATAAACACTTAAATATTTTACTAAAAGTGAGTTGGTTGATACTTATACTTATCCTATTGAAACCTTTAATCGAATGTTTATAATTGTTTATCATCAAAGTATTGATTTTTTTTCTTCGGTCTACCTATTTAAATTTATTTTATGCAAAGCATTTATTACAAAGTATAAAACAGCAAGATTTTAAAAAGCAAGATATCTGCTGATATTAAATGAGCTACTTTCCATTGGGATGTCTTATATACCTATTTTCATTAACCAAACGAAAAGATTTTACAAGTATTAGGTTTATCTAGGATATCGGAAGTATCAGAATTATACAGGGTGCAAGTTTTTTTCGATATGTTTAGTACAGGGATGTCGGAAACTACAGGAGATAGAAAATAGTTTATATGGGACAAACATTTGCAATTTTGTGAAACTTGTTCATAACCAGTTTCAGTTTTGCAAAATATGATACCTGTCAAATACTAGACCGGCACCAATTCAAAAACACATTTTTAAGAGATGTTTTATTCAATTCAAACAAATTTTCAATTCAAAATTGAAGTCAAAATTATATCAAAAACCAATTTATTGTAAAAAAGTGTGTTTGTTAGACTACATAAATATGGAATACCTGGAAATTAGGTACCTACCCAGGGTCATTAGGGCCGCGCTAATCCGATTTATACAATAACGACCACAACACCAACCCCTTTCATCACTGTCGCGCCGATCAATCCCTAATTGGTTCAGTACTCCTATAAATACCTACCACAGATCCCAATGCTCCAATTAGTAATCCTACTGCCGTACTGCCAACAGTACTCCCGTATCCTTACTATCGTTCTCCATTTGTACCAGTAAAGTTACTTCGTGTGTGTACCGACCTAGAGATGGCTGCCAGAAATTTCGAATTCGACATCGAGGATATGAAGTGCGACAATTGCTTCAAGTATTTATCGGTGAAACCGATAAAAGACTACGAGGACGGCACCGTGAGATGCGGAAGGTGCAGCCAAGAAGACGACGAGGGGACCATCAGCATGCTGAATTGCTACGACGAGAAACAACTCTTCAAGTGCCACAACCGATACAGCGGATGCCGCCAACTGCTCAGCAGCTCTCAGGTGAGAGCACACGAGGAATCATGCGTGACATACACGTATAATTGTCCTTACTGTCCTGACACCGTCCTGCCTACGTATTTGCTGGAGGACCATTTCAAGAAGTTTCATAGTTTGCTCGTGTTGAAGAAATCTACGTTCCATCCTTCATGCGACGTGGACAAGCAGGTATTCTTTTATAAGCTTAACGATTTCTACTTTTTTGTTGAGTGTACTATTGATGGAAATTTGGGTCAGTTTAGAGTCGAAAGTTATGCTTTGGGCGATCCGAATATCACCGTTAATTTTACAATTACTTCCGAAGTTTTTGCAAATCTGGAGGTCTTGGATGAATTGCATGTTCCTAATAATAGACAGGCGATTCACTTAGCAAACAGTGCTGACAGAAACTGGCCGTTTTTAACTGTTAATTTAACGTATAAAGTCGACGATATTCCTTATTATGTCGACGATGCACTTGCATTGGATGCCGATTTACCGGAATCCACGGCAACTATGGACGAGTTTCGCAATGTAATGGCTTATGAGAATTTTCAAACGATTTGCACAAGATTCGGAATTGACTGGCCTGTTAAATTTGATATAAACGATTTTCCGCAAAACATGTTCCTTAGCAGCGATTTTCTTCATGTAATTCGCCTTAAAAAGTGGATAGGCACAGAAATTTACCTGCATTGTTACAAATGTTTTATTAATTCCTGTCACGGGCGCGTACCAGGAGATTTCGTCAAAATCAATTGTACTCTTTTCTTCCTATGCGAAATTTGCTGTGAAATAGAAAGAAAAGAGGGCAAAGTTGTCAATTACACCGGTTATATTAACATTTTCAAAAATTTCAAAGCTAAATACCCCAGGAACTTTGATTGTGATGTAATTTACAAACAGTTGCCTGATTTTGAAGACTCCCCGGTACGTTACGATTGCCCATTTTTATTCTGCGATGTCTCCCGTACTTACAACAATTTAATAAAACATTTGTCCAGGAACCATAAAATTAGTTTGCGCAATGTACTATTCCACAGGGTCGATCTCAGTTCTAACGTGCCTTACGTCAATGTGATTATTTGGGTCATGCCATATTTTGTTAAAGTTAATTTTGTAGCAAACCCGAATGGTTGGGAAGTCAATGTTCAATTTGCTCATAGAGCAATTGTACCGAACCATGTTAGAACTAAAATCGCACTGTACAACATGAATGGTGAATTGATTCATGTTTTCAACAAAAATTGTAAATTGGGTCTAATTCCTGATGAATTCATCAAGTTTCATTGTCATTTGGAATGGTTTAAATAAGTGCTTGTAAATTGTTGATATTTGATTTGTAAATCAATTATGATTTGTGTCTTTGTATGTATTTGTTCCAATTTATGTAACTGTAATATGTAATTGTATAAGTTTTGTAACGAAATGGTTATAATTGTAATAATTGTATATTTTTGTAATCTATTGTGTAATCTATGACTACAACAGATAATAAATTTCTGTATTAATTCTAATTCATTCTCTTTTATTTATGTCGACTTGTTCCCATTATTACATAAAATAATGATGATAACAAGGGTATCTTAAGGGTACACCAATCTGAAAGAATTTTCTTGAATAAATTCAAAGCGTTTGAATTTATCTAAAATAATAAATTACTAATTATCTCTATGAAAAACAAGCAAACTAATGAAAAATTATGTAAAAGAATAAACAAGTCGTAACGCCCGGGAAAACTCGCCCGAGGCGAAAAAAAAAATCGCAACGAAAGTTCCCTGTCGGCAATTCCTGAGCGCAACACGACGTATTTATCAAGTCAAAAAATATTATAAGGCGCTATTAAAAACTTTTAAACGCGGAAAGTTTTCATCTGGTATCTCTCGACATTCGTGAAGAATGTACGAAACTCGGCGCGTTACCGGATTAAATTGCCCTCCTTGTTCGCGAAAATTAAAACTCGCATCTACCGGTAGACATTTATACACAAATGGGGATGCGCCCGAGGGACATCGACAACGGCAACAACACCCCCAGTTGAGCAGAAAAAAAACTTGAAATATTACAGATTAAGGTAGATAAAGTGCTGAAGACGAGGCAGAAAGAGGCAATGGTTTGTTGTATTTATTCATATTCATTGTATATCTTTATAAATTTACTGAATAATCTTATTGATCTAATGACTGTGGAAAGTGATATTTTTCGTAACGGGACCTCGAGTTCGGGTGAATTAACTCCCCTAACCACTTTCACGCATAATATCGTCAATTCATTAAAAATCCAAGTTAACGACGCGTCTTCCTCCCGTTTCCATTCCCGACGACTTACGACTGAGGTGGGCGAGTAGACACCGCACGATGTAGACCAGATACGGCGTCGGCAATAAATACAGTGAACTCAATTTTCCTGGAGTACAATAGGGGAGGAGACGGGAAAGGACGCCTCGGCGTTGGTGGGGGCGAAACGGAAAGTGGGGGTGTCGAAGGGATAGAAGGTGATCTATCGCACCGAGTAGAACTTCTCGTATATCTCGCACCCTCTCAGTGGAAATCCCGAAGTCGCTGTCGCAGGGATGTACCCCGAATGAATTTAGGGTTGTTACGGGGGCATTCAACAATGATAATTGTATAAGAAAATATGGGGAAAAACGAGGAATATTACAGAGTAAATCAAAATCGACTGTTGTCGTTTTCACGTAACGATTTGAAATTGTTTTCGGTTGAATAAGTATCCGTTACGGTCCTGGGGAAGTCGAAAGTTTCGGGACTCGAGTCGAATTTTATGCACCATCTGGTGTTGCCTCCGCGAACTCGCTCTCACATAACGAGAATCCTCCGGTGGAAAAGTTTGGTCCTACGCCGGGGGCGCGCCAGGACGAGAGGGGCGGCTTAGCATTAAATTGTATCCTGGAAAACTGTTGCTGGTATTGGTTGTAATTACTTTTGCTTATTTTCCGTACTTGTTCGCTCGAAAAAGAAATTTATCGTTCATTAAAAAAATACACTTTAATTACAATTATAGCGTATACATTTATTTGGCTGGTTGCGCGACCGACCTACGTCAACAACATAACACTGCGTCAAACCGTCCAAACTTTCCGTTTTAATCGCTTCAATCTCCGCCGAAGACGAAAGCGAACCGGCGTCCCCGCGCTCAGCGCCTCTCCGGAGGATAATTAGCGCCGTCGCCGCCCGCCGCCCCCTCGGATGCCGCCCGATAGATGCGGCATCGGCAAACAGTAATAATCCGGTGCGACATGAGAAGTGTGTCGGAATCCAACAAGTCGGGGCGCCGCGACGCTGTGGGCGGTCAACCCAGCGGCGTCTCCTTCCCCTCGCGCCGCTCCAAGGTCGGGGCGACCGGACTTATTAGAAAAAGTTTATTGTTTATTATGTACAGACGGCGAGAAAAAAAGCTACCCTTTCGTCTCCTTAAGACAATTCAAGGGCAAAAATCAAATTAATTTGTTATGAAGTTTCTGAGCTTCTATCTGATGAGCTCATTATCCCAAGGTTTTATTAATGTATTGGCCACTATATTACTAATTAGTCAAGCGTTTTTACATCTTCAGAGAGTTCATAGACACTTAATCGAAGATTGATAAATCCACTCTAAGCCTCTGGTAAACTGGAAAAGTTTTTGGGGAAACGTTTGTTTGTGAGAAACGCTGCCGAATTTTCTCTAAACGTTACCCCCTCGTTCCCTTACGATCCACCCTATTGCCGCCACCTTCGTCGTTGCTCCGGTATACACATTTGCCACACCGCTCCCTACCCTTAGCTCGGTCGATACCATAACCTACAAACTTGGAGGTAACGAATTTTTGGAGGACCTCTCCAAAGGCAACTCTATTTTTGACATGTATTTGGTGGTTTTAGGTTAATGGTAATAATTAAGTGTTTTTACAATTTCTTGCCTAATAAATTAACAGGATTTGTTAGAAGACTAACTTCTTTTGCAATTAAAGTTACCCTATTCGCCCAACAAACTACTTTCCGGAGTAAATTCCGAGTTACCTTTTTTTCGGATTGGGACTCCCAGTAATGAAGTTGCCGCACCGCAAACTCCACAAAGCTGCCACTTAACCGGCCTTTGTTATTTGTTGTTTAGTTATATCTTTTTTCTGCTTTTTCGGTTTTTTTTTTCGTCGCTGCGCGCTCGCTCTTTTAATTCTGTACTCCGCTTGATGACCACGGGGATGACGTATTGGAGTTGTCAGGAAGGTCATTTTCAGAGGTCGCCGAACAAAGGAATCGCGGACGCGGGAAGTGGGATAAGGGATTTTTATTAGATCTATTTACGGCTATAATAAATCGGCCAATGATTTCGATATATACAGATATGTGCAAAGTTGAATGCGATATGGTCTATGGGTTGCAACAAAGACAACTTCCATTAGATTCACGTAAAGGAAAATGAAGGAGCGATATTGTGGAATTGCAATTTTTTCATTTTAACCACTCTGGTATAGTTCAATAATATCTTTCTTCAACTTATGGAATTTAATTCAGCATATTGCAAACAAATTTGTACCTATCTGTAGGTATATATCAATTTAATGTCGATAATAAACGGAGATGTTTCGTTGATAATACCGTTTTGTTTTATACATTATTGACTATTATTTTCCTAAAGGTATTGTAAAGAAATAATTTTGTTGACCATTATAATTTCTTTGTACTAAATAAAACCCGTTAACCCAGTGCCCAAATTAATTCAAATGTCTTGTAATTTTAGTAAAGCAATGACAAAAAAATAACGCAATTCTTATCACGTAAAACTTGCGAATTTTCGGGAATTTTTTTCCTCCTAAATCAAATAAATAGCAAGCTATATCTAGGCCAGGCCACCTCGGAGTGCCGCCCTCTGGGCTGAGAGCGGAAAAAATCCCTCTCGTTCGGAAAGTTATGAAAGAAAAAGGGCTTCGGCAGACGCAGAATTTTCCATTTTCTATCTAAAAGAGACAATCGATCCCCGTTTTCGTTACCTATCCCTTCCAAATTTTTTTGCCTCACTTTTTGTTGTTGCTCGGCTAGACTGCTTTCTGCGTGATGGAAAGGACGATTCTCTCTTTTTTTTACACGCCATTCTTTGCCAGATTTGGAATGTGCCATATATACGCGGCAAAAAAATGCTAAAGTGAATTAGATTTTACTGCAAATGGGAGACAATGGAGTTAACTCTTTAAAGGTTTTAGAATCAAGTGGATATTTTTAAGTAATTTTTTGTTTTAATAATTTTTTTCGTTGATTTTATTTAATTTTAATTTTTTTTGGTTTTATCCTGGAATAGTAAAATTTAAATTATAATTAAAAACTCTGAATTTCATCTCCTCAATTTTAAAGCGCTGAAACACTTACCTGGTGCATCCACCATTTTATAAATATTTTTCAAATACATATAAAATTGACTGAAAAAATTCTAGTTTTTTACTTTATTTTCAACATCTCAATATGTGTGTTTAAATGCCCTTTCTTGTTAGATTTTGATTGATATTATATTAAATTTAAATGGTTATGTTTATATATGATATTACTGAAAATACTTACAACGGGGGTGTAACTCAGTGGTAGAGTGTCTGCTTCGCATGCTGAAAGTCCTGGGTTCAAATCCCAGCTCCTCCAAAACTTTTTTTTTGTTTTCTTGTATTTTTTTAAATACTTTTGATTGCTTCTTTTTTGGTATTAAATTTACTCGATATCTACAAGACAAATTGTCTACAATCAGATGACAATTATAATATATTTTTATCATTTACCCAGAATAATAGTGAATTGACCCCATATGTTCAAATATAGCAATCAAATCCATTCAGTCCATCAATTCCAACTATTTATTCTCCCACCCACATCTGCTAACAAAGTTAAAGCGCAGCCATTACCATAAAAAAGGAGTAAGTTCCTCCGCAGATCCCTTTAATACTGCTGCATGCAGTGTGCAGGACAATTTCCACCGGCTGAAAATCCCGTTTGGACTAATTGACGCTCGTCCTTCGCTCACGAATGGTGTCACA